TTTTTCTTCGTTGCTTCCCCCACCTCATCTTTTGCATCTTCCAACCCCGTAACAACAAGATTGGCTTCCCTCAACACCTTGTCATGTCTCTCTTGTCTGGCTTGCACCTTTTCCACCTCCGCTCTCACCACACCGCTGTAGGAGGCAACTTTAACTTGTTCCCCCCGGACAACTTGCAACTCCTCAACAACCGATTGCTTCTCCACCTCCATCAATTGCATCCGGGCTTTCAAACCCTCGTTTTCCTTCTTCAAAAGGCTTACTTCTGACTCTAACGTCTGCAAACGGTCCAACACCGCTGTCATCTCATCTTTCTTCGGCCCCATGCCTCTGACAGCACAACAAATGTCGATGTGCAGCAGCAGCACTCAGATGGTCATTACTTTCTCAATTTCTGATGGTAGTGCACGCAACTCGGACGGAATTCCTTCTTCCTTGCTGTCAAAAAGCCTTATATATTCAAGTGGTGACTTCGGGTTATCTTTCTGCGCCGGCTAGCGAAGATTTTCAGGCATACTCGAAGGACCTTTAGCCAGATCCACAGAAAATTCCGAAAGGAGGCAGGCCAACCCCTCCGTCCAGAGAAAGTTGCAAACTACGGGATTTGACCCGCGGACCTTCGGGCCAACCACAAGTGGAAGGCACGTGGCAGTTGTATCGAACTGCACTCTGGCCAGCTGAGCTAGCCGAGCGCAGAAAGATAGGTCAGCAGACTCGCATCTCAATTCTCATTCTTCTGTTTCTTTTGCAAGGGGATTGTTTCAATTGCTCGTTCATTCACCACATTTGAGCCTCCTAAGTTGGCGCATCGCTCTTGGAACACGAGGAGTGCTGCAGAAGCTGCGTGCAGAGCGCTTTTGAGCTAGCACAAATTGCTGAAGGGCGCAGCGTCCGTGACATAGTGCAAAGCGTCAGCAAGCGGGCAGAAAGGGGTGGGTGTTGGCGTGCCTCTTCCAACTCTGTGCTATCTTGCATCGCTGAAAGCTAGTCATCAAATGCTTGAGAGGATTGGCTTAGTGTGTACAATTGAAAGCTGTTCACTATTTTAGCAAAGTGTCAGCCAGAACAGTTCCTCTCAGGAACTCAGTGATGCGATCTTGATGCTTCCCCTGTGCTGCTTTGCGTCACTTGACTCTGTCCCTATGTGAACCAAAGTGGTAATGGCTCACTGCAACAAGCGTCAATCACTGTATGCAATGAACAAGTTTTGGAAGGACAGAACTGAAGAACAAGAGGGAACCTACTTGTCTTGTCAAAAATCAAGCTTTGGCTAAAAAATACGTAAAACAGTGCTTGAATTTTTGAGACATGGGTTTGAGACAAGGGCTATGACCATCAGACATAGGCCGTGAAAGAGAGTGTCTGGTTCTTTCGTTGTTCAGGAGCGTTGCTTCTTAAGGAGTGTAAGTGGAACTGATGCTCAACCGTAATACTAACTCAGTTGCTTAAGCCTGGCGATTCAGTACTACAGGGAAATTGTCAAATTGAAATTATTGATGCGCTGGGGCTGGTGGTATTGACTTGCAATCTTCTGAAACTAGCTAAGGTGCTGCATCAGGTTTGGACACTGTTTCTTCCTTTCTATATCTGGACCATGGGTGCAAGTCCTGGACGGCAATTTGTCCGTTTCCCCTTCCAGCTCCCCCTCCCCTCCCCAACACCCTATACTCTTTTACCCCTCCAACCTGGCTGCTTCTTCAGGCTCTGGGATCCAACTGAATTTCCCTCCACTTCTAAATCATCTAAATCATATCAATTGCTCTCTGCAGGCGCTCCTCAAAAGCGCATCCCTCGGCTTTTTAGTCATTCCCAGGCAGTCACCGTAGCCCTCTCTGCGTTCTGTACACCCCTCCAGCCAAAACCCCCTCCCAACAGAGAGCAAGGATGTTCAGGGCCGCAGGGGTGGCTCTCCTGCGGGGGGGGGGCGCTGCCGTTCGCACTGCAACAGGGGCGGCCAAAAAGGCACCAGCGGAAAAAGCCGCGCGGGCGCCTACAAATGATGCTCTGATGCGGAAGTATGAGGTGTCTCCGGCGCTGAGCGAGTTCATGGGGGCGGAGGAGGTCACACGGCAGGAGGTGACAGCCAAGATCTGGCAGCACATCCGAACGCATAAATTGCAGGTGAGGGGACCTGCTTTAGTTTCTTACTTCCACACACTACTCTTCTGCGTTGAGAGCGTTGATTATCTTGCGAATTGAAACTTCTCGACAGATAGGCCTTGCCAGATGGAGCAAGTGTACTCGCAACGGTACTCCTTACGAGGGCGGAGGGGGGTGAAGGAATGAGTGTCGTATGTTGGGCCCCTGGTCCCTCATTGTGCCACACATTTCAGCCCATTTTCGACAAGTGAAGGACGGGCCTCGGGAGTGCGCACAACGCAGTACCCACCTTGCTTGTAGAAAGGCTGAGGTTTGAGTTGAATACTCTGGAAGCACTTTCGAATGGAAGTTTCTCACCTTTTTTGAAATTGGAGAGCAAGTACTGTAGCTTGTAGAGAGGCGGAGACTGGAGCAGCTTGCTGTTCCCCAGAAGGAAGGTCGAAGATTTATGAAGCAGGCGTTTTTCAAATTCAGGGAACAAGTCATGCAGTTGCTCATTACGGGAATGCATCGCAAGCAATCGCGCAGGGTTTTGAAGCTTGACCTCCTGTTTATCAACATGCAGCGGTGCGCGAAGCATCGGTTCGGGCTGATTGCCTTCGTGTTGCCTCGTAAAAGTCTGTCTGTCTGTGTTGTTGTGTTGTGAGACCTCGACTTCGATTTCGGGCCAATGTTGCAAGAGTTCTCTCTGCCAGACCTCAAACAAACATGCAAATTATGCGGGACTCGTAAGCCCTGGCTAAGCGAAAGATGATACCTTGCTCTATCCTATCTAACGCTGTTTGCTCACTCTGCTCGAGGGTCACCAATGATTGCACACGCTTTGCCAGAATCAGAACCTTGTAGTCTGCCAAGTCAAACTTTGTCAAGTTTTCTTGCGTAGACGGCTTTTTGTTCATTTGCAAGATGTCGTTGACTTGACTGCACTTGATCAGCCAGGGACGAAAGCTATTAAGTAGAGGACATAAAAAAGACGACGGTCGTTTCTAGATTTAGCTGACTCTTGTGTTTCGTTCCGCGCCGAGTCCGAAATTTAAACGGGCAAGAGGCGACGAAGAAATGGTCGAGGAGCCAAGACCAGAGAACGTCAGAAATTCCACACCCGAAAATTTCTAGTTTCGTCTATCATAGCAGATTTCGGAGAGCGGAAGGCGGTGCTCGCGCGTATAGTGGAGGGTTCAAGAATCGTGGCCCGAGGCGTCAGTGCCTATCCTCTCAGAAACCTTGATGGCCCCATCCCCCTCAGGAGCCAGAGAAGAAGTTGGAAGTAGTCGTAAGACGCGATAGTCACAGACGAATACGAAAGCAGATGTCCTCACCTTTCGCATCAGTCTAGAACGGGCCTCACGTAAACCACAAAGAAAATGGGCGCCGTCTTTTGTGTGCAGAACCCCGAGAAGAAGACCGAGGTTTTGCCGGACGCAGCGCTGAGAAAGATCCTGGATGCGGAGGTCCTCACGTTCGGCACCATCTCCAAGCTGCTAGCCGAGCACTTCCCGAAGGCCACGAAACCGAAGTTAGTAAGAAAGCCGCGCGCGAAGAAGGAGACGAAGGAAAAGAAGGCGGAAGAATGATCAGCAGGCGGCTGATCAGAGGAGCTGAGGTGCGTTGCAGACTATCCCAGGGACGTCACTCGCGTTCGGTCGTGAAGTCCATCGGGCTTCGCTTGTCGGACTCGACATCTGTCAATGATTGGGCCTCTCGACGGAAGGGCTCTTGCTTCGGCGTCATTACTCGTTTGTGGGCGTCGTTATTTCCCTGTTCTCAAAAGTCTCAAGTTTGTGGCAGGTGCCTGCCGAGGTGTCCGTTCGGATCAGAGTGCTTTTGGAAGAAGATGGAAAAGTTATGCGGGAGAATGCTGAGCGACGATCCCGGGACGACGGCTTGCTTGAGAAAATGCTTTGTGCTGGGTGCTTCGTAAGCTGTGGGGGTCCTAAGTACTTGGGGTGTCTTAGGTGTCTCGCCATTGCGAGTACTAGCTGTGAGAGCACAGACTGAGGCCTCTTGTACTATCTCAGTATCCATTCTGGGTGTTGCAGAGTGGGTGCACACGGCTTCTTGCCACAAGACAGTTACTTGTTTTGCTAGAGGCTGATGCCGAATTTCACCAATGTCGATGCACGGCACGGTCCTCTTATCAACCGTGTCCTGTGCCGTCATTTGGCAACTGTACAATGCTTTCCTTGCTTTTGATAGCAGAGTTGTTAAGGCAAGGTCGTTAGCTCGTCTGCGAACGAAAGCTCACTGGAAATGGCGGAGTGTTTGTTCTGCTTTGATCGTGCTTCGACCAGCGGAGATCTTCAACGAAGCGAGAGTGGCTTAAGCCGCCTCGCATCGCTCTGGAGTCGCCTGCCCGTCAACAAATTTGCGAATACTTGCAGGTGCTGATGACGACGCAAGAGTCGAAGTTTCTGGTCTGGTACCGGATGACTGGGCGCTAGTGCACAGGAGCACCATGTGCTCAATTCAGTAGAAGCTAGAGAGCTCTTTACTGAGCAGGCCCCTTGAATGATTTGGACCTGCTTTTGTTTCTTCTTGAAAGTTTTGGTGTTACAATGACCAGAAAAACGTCTATATACAAGAAGCTTGGTTGTCGGCTTCTTTTGCTAGCAGAACGCGCAAGTCAGACACTAGGCCTTGAGCGAAGCTCTAAAGAATTCAGTCAATAAGTACGGCGCAAGCTTTGATGGCAGCCGAAAATGGTTGCTAACTTGGTCTTAAGCTTGCATTGCATGATGAGAGTTCTGCCACGTTGCTCTTGCTGCCGCCATGCACATTCCTTTCGAGACCACATTCGATTAGCCGTGGGATCGGCCATTGCGCAACTGCTGTCAATTTTGGGGCCGGTTTGTACATGCAATAGCACTGAGGGTTGCAACTTGCACCGGGCGGGCATCAGAGTGTGTATCAGATATCGATGTCAGGCTATACTATGCGCATCATGGCATGGCCTCGGCTGAGTCAACTCATTGGATCTCAGCAGTGGAAAGCTTTATAGCTAGTTCAATGCTTTTGGTTCTTTAGAAGCACCTGCATGGTATCTAGTCCAGTGCATGATGCACAGCGAATGGTCTTGACTCTTTACCTGCCATGACCACTTCTGGTGGTACGCCCCGGCCGCAGCTTCCCTAGGAGCGCTCCAATTGCGGGGGTTCTCTAGGTCGTAGATGTTAGCAGCCGACTCCAGGGGCGGCGGACCTAAGGCAGCTGGTGCCTGGTCGGCCTCCTGCAGTGCCGGCCGGGCGCAGTGTCCAGAGTAGGGTCGAGTCAGATACACGGAGTTCTGCTCAGCCATATACTGCTGACATTGATAGTGGTTATATTGTTGAGACCAGCTGAAAGTCCTTCGGACGAGTTCGCGGTCAGGTGTTGAACCCTTCATTGAGTGTTCGCCCACAGTGTGGTGACCCTCCTTTCTAGGGGCGCGTCGCCACATCTGGTTAGGTTTTGGGTTAGCCGAAACCCTGTTTCTAGCATTCTTGCGCTGAACCCTTTTCGAAGTGAGTTCGCCAGTCAGACAAGTTCAGCGTCTGATCCGTTATCCCCTGTGTGGGTTCAAGTGACAGACGCCAGGACGAGCGCCGCCAGGACTACAGGGAGGACGTACCGCCGCAGAGACGACCGCCGTTGGGACGACCGTCAAGACAACCAGCGCAGACGCAGTGGGTGGCGCGGCAGAGGACGTGGCCGTGGCCGTGGGCGCGACAATCGCGACCAAGGACCAAGTGCGCAACCCCCGTGACCCTGGAACAGAGGTCGCGGCCGGGGGGGGAAGAGAGTAGTTTTGCCGCGGCTCACTCTAGTTAGCCTAAGCGCTTGGGGCGCCAGTGGTAGCTAGGCGAGTTGATGCACATGTATAATTTTAGAGACCTGCCCCATCGGCAGGGAGACAGAGAGATTGAGAGTAGGGTCGAGTCAGATACATGGAGTTTTGCTCAGTCGTATAATGCTGACATTGACAGTGGTTATATTGTTGAGAGTCCTAGTGTGCTATCCCCTGCCGCGAATCGAGTGCACTGCACAATTCCGATTTGAATCCTTTGAATAGGGTTGTCGAAACCGGCGACATCATGGATAATACGCATGCGCAGCATGGTGCTGGCCGCTTTACTGGCGGGCCAGACGGGATGAGTGTGTCGCATTTGCGACGGAGCTATAAAACGATGATGTCAAAGCTGAAGCTGCGACGTAATACAGAGGAGCTCAATGAGAATGATTACTTCTATTTCCTAGTCGAGCTGACCTCGGGTCAGGCTCGCGATCGCGCCGGCCGCGAGCTTGAGAGCCGCATATGGCCGATGATTTGGACAGACGGAATGCGGCGCGCCTTGACGCATTCGAGCGCAAGCTCGCCGAATATGAGCGTGACAAAGAGAAGCATGATGCGCTAGGAACGACAGACTTTATGCAATCGCGCGCGGCGGCGCCGTGTTGAGTGCGTCTATGCAAAACACGTAGAGCTAGGGTATGACTAATTGGAGCAATGTTTACTATACTAAGATTGAGATCGATCATATAAATACATCTTGTCATATGCCGGCTGGCGCCATAAACGCAATAGAGAAATTTTGCCAGTCAACGAGATTGTCAAATTTGCGTAGCTATAGACTATCGAGCCGCCTACATTGGATCAAGATTTGGACCTTGCACGCTTGCAAACCCAAACGCGGTGCATGGGCTACAACCGCGTCGGCTAGCTCTACATTGGTCCGACTTAAGCCGGGCAGCTGCATGCTGCGGCCCATCTTAGTGTATTTAGTCGCGTCCTGGAAGCCGCCGCATGTCCTTCTATAGACCCTGTCCATTTTCGGAACAGCACTGGCGTTGACCATCATAAAGTGAGCGACAGCAAGACGAACCCGGCCTTCGAATCACCGGCTTATTACCCTGCAACTCGATCATCATGAGCGGACTGATCCTTGTGCTAAATATAGTACAAAAGTGTATCCTGCCAGCTTGACCATATCGTCCCGCAAAACCTCCTGTACACTTCTCGCTGGCCGGTATGTGTGCCTGCATGCTTGCAGCCTGTTTGTCAAGCTTTGTACAAGGTGACGGATCGACGCGCTCCACCTAACAAGCTTGACTGCCCCATCTAAAACGGCTTCTCTACAGACGACAAACACAACCTATTTTGATGCCCAGGAAAGCCGACTTTTCCTGACACACCAAGACTTGGCGTCGGTTGACTGCTCACTTGAAGACTAAAAGTTGCTTTCCTGCAGTGAAGCCTTCCTTCCCCAGGGCTTTCTTCAACGCAAAATCGAAGTCCGTGAACGGGGTCTTCTCGAAGCTGCACGACGGGAACGGACGCTCATACGTTCGTTCACAGCAATGTCCGGGTTACGAATGCGAAGAGACGTCCTTCGAAACCTCTCAGGGTTCTTGCCGTGCAACGTAAGGGCCAAAGCCTTCCCTAAATTGTTTCCTCCGGCAGGGCAAATGTATTTCTGGAAGGAGCTCGAGCCAGACTGGGGGAATGAACCCACCATCTCCGAAACTTGGTCAGAACATTCACGTCAAGAAAAGACGGAAACTTTGTCTCAAGTATGGACTAAAACAAGCAGAACGGTCAAGTATGACTTCATAAAAGAAGTCTAGCAACCGCAAGGGCTTACTTAAACGTCAGTTTTTTGTCGCGAGCCAGGCCCAAGAGGTAGTCGATCATTTTGGAGCGCTCTTCTGCGGAGTGCTCCTGCGCCCACCGGGACACCCAGAACCCCTTGCACGTAATGTCCTGCAGTGCGGAACATCTTGTTCGACTCAGAACTTGTGGAACGCGCACAAGCACACTGCAAAAGGTTTTCACATTGCTGTCTTCAGATAGGAACAAGCAGGCTGACATGGGTTGGCGCCTCCAGTTTGACACAACGGCTGCTCCGCTTCTGATTGCCGTGCAGCGCACCAGGGCCAAGAAAGCGACGACTGAGAAGCAGCAGATGCACAGATTGCCAACGTTGGCTGAATTTCGGTCGTTCGAGCTAAGAGAAGGTTCGGAAACCTGTCGCTTTACCTGGGAAGCATCTGCAAAAGGAAAACGACGACCAGAACAAGGGGGATCATCCGTCGCACTTCGGACAGTTCTTGTAAAGCCAATCCTGAACCAAGTTCCGTAAGGAACGGAGGAAGCAACAAGCGGTTCCACTATTACGTTTTCCAAGAAGGAAAGTGAAGGAAACAACTTTCAGAGTGCCAACAGGCGGCGCGCACCTTGAAAATGAAGTACGACGTAGATATGGTGACGGGCTTCATGGACATGCCCCCATAAGTAACTAGAGTGGCGCCAGTTCTGCAAGGAAATGCGCACATCAGTCTGCACGGTTTCCAGCTTTCCAGCTTTCCAGCTTTGCCCTTCCAGTCCAGCAAGCTGTCTCAGAAATGGACGGCGGGAACATCATCAATGGTGGCTCGACCAAACCGTCTGCACCTGACACGATTTGTTGAACCTGAGCTGACGACTGCATATCTTGGGCCAATCTTATGAACCAAGCCTAGCGATCAGACGGCTCATGTTGTAAATCAGCTCGGACGAGGCTCTTTTGAGTTTGACGCGCAGTGCGAGAACACAAAGGCCTCATCGGCTTTGTTCTGCCAGCTTATTATGACAGGGAGCGCTTTTACGAGGCCTTGTCTGTGAATCATCCGAACCACTTGGCTGCCCGTCAAAGGGCCCAAGAGGAGGCAGCAAAGATGATGGAGATCTTCTCACTTATGATTCTCTCCAAAATCTTGCCCTTGATCAAAAATGTATCCGAGGCATACTCAATCCAAGGGCGCACTAAATCCTGAACGCTGACCGGATGCTCGTACGGATAAAAGACACGAATTGACTCAGGTGCGCGCTAAAAAGAAAAGGTCACAACTGGCTTGAGCGCACTCAGAAAAAAGAACGCCCCGCAGCTCACCCCAGGAGCTTGGTGACAGCTGTGGCCGCCGAGCCGCCCACGCAGTTGAGGCCCAGCTTCGCCGGGGGGAACCCTTTCTGCAACCAGAACGGCCAAGGATCAGACCAAGAATCAGAATTCAGAGAACCTCGACCGCTTTGAACGCGGCAGTGTTCGCAAGCAATGCAACGCAGGCTTCTCCGCATTCTGCTAGCTTATCCTTCATCACTCACGAGCTGCCGATGTTGACTCTTCGGAGCGACGAAAGCAAACATAAATCTCGTGGTTCGGCCGTCCCGTGAGCCCTCCGAAAACCGCCGCCGTTGCAGGATAGCCGTCCCGTCAGAGTTTGGGCGTTCGAAAACCATCGTCCAAAACCGTCGAAAAAAGAACGAAATCAAGCGACGCCCTCACTTTCAGATTCAGATTAGCCTTAGGGATCAAACCTAATAATCAGAGTAGCAGCGGCTTCCGTGCCCTGGTTCTCCTGACTGCAACACGAAAGCCTTCTGCATGCGAACTGAGCTACCGAACCTCAAACACCAGAAACTTGATTGCTCCTAAGCAACAGAACCAATTCACGCAGCAGAAGTTGAGCTCTGCGCGGGAGAGGGACGTGGCGAGAGGCTCACCATGGCCTGCTTCCCCTCGGGAGACTGCGCGCGCTCTTCCGTCAGCACCACCGATGCGCCCAGCGCCTTGAGCTCGGCCGCCTTCTCCTCGAAGTTCGGCCTGAGAACAACCAGAGAGTCTTGGCCCAGAAAACAATTTCGCCACCAAACCAAGCTCGGGCCCCTTCACCTCGCACCCAAGTGTTATTTTCGACGGAGCGTTCGATAGTTTCCACAAAGGCGGGTAGTATGGTATACCGTCGATTTCCGCGTATTGCGGAAATCCTTGCGGAACTGATGAACTGCAGACTGGCCGTACAACATCTTGGGGTCCACTTTAAGGTGCCCGAGAAGACATGTACGGCACTGTCGACATTTATAAACCTGATTGATGGTCAACGACCGGCCTCAGGTTTCATACAGAATGGCCCCTTAAAGACGTGGTCAGTGACGCATTTCAACGAACGTTGTCAGGTAAAACCTAGCCTCGGGAGATCAACGGCACGTTCGTCGTCGCATGGACGTGACCGCAGAGGGGGGACTCGACCGACAACAGCGCAGTTTTAGAGGACGGTTAGCTTAAGACATACATATTGGACGACATTAGGGCAGGTATTGCAGAGAGGTTGACAAGAAGGGTAACAGACGCTGAAGGATGGTCGACCAGAGCGAACGTCTCGCAAATAGACCCGACGTGGCGCCAGCTCGAGAGCCTGGAGCCGAACTATTGACTTTGTTCTTGGGTGGATGCGGATTCGTGACGATTCCTTTTGTTGGTCGACAAGGAGCGTAAGGAAGATCACAGAGATCGTCAATGAAGTAAGCTGACTGGGCGATACAAGAGAGTGCTGGAGACCCCATCAACAGGCCAATCTCCCCACCGTACTCAGCCGCCTGAATGACGACTAATGCAGTTGAATTCACTTCGTATGCATAAGCGCTGGGCAACGAATCACCCAAGAAACCAAAACGCTTGTGCAACGCTGAAGTGCAGGGTTGCATCTAAACCACAACAGCGTAGAGCCATGAAGTTTGTTTCGAAAGTGCCACTTGTTGTTCTGGAGCAACACGCTTATCGACCACGTGAAACGAAAGAAGGGAACAAATCAAGGAAGAGCCGCTCACGGAGGGCCACTGACCGGTCCCGGATGATGTTGACCGAGTGCAGGCCCCGCTCACGCGCCAGCTGAATGACGGCCAGACCCACCATGCTAGTTGCGCCGTTCTGCACCACCACGTCACCTGTCAGCACAACGACGTCATGTCAGCGACAACCTGCGAAGAAGCCGATTGTCAACATCAGACTGCCTGTATTTGATACCCAGGATGGGCATTATCTGCTGTCCTTTTACGGTCAAACGAACCGTTTCTCCGATTTCGGACGCTTCTGTTAGCCGTTTTCTTCATCGAAATCGCCTTAACCTGTGTCTTTTACACGGAACATAAACGAGAGAGGAACGGACAGCAGGAACCGAACGCCGGACAAACGTACGCTATGGAAACGGCGGAGAAAGGGATAGCGGTGAAATGGACGTCGGACGAACGGACGTTGAAAAGCGGGCAGCAGAGACAACAGACGCCGCAGGAATCGAGGCGGGGAATTCGGCGATCGATTAACGAGATCGGCGGCAAACGAAAGAACTGCAGAGAAACGAACGAGGCGGAGAGATGGACGGCAGAGACATGTTGGCAAAGATGGGAGGTCGAATGGCCGACAAACGTGTAGCCGTGGCAGAAAGGAGGGGACGGCATAGACTTCAGTGGCGTGAGTGCGGAGGACACACAATCAACGAAGGGGACGAAGCGGAGTGAAAAGAAAAGATGGATCGGGAAGAAGCGGACGACGGCGAAACGGATGCCCAAAACGACCGTCGGGCTGCGAAAAGACGAAAGACTCAACAAAGGACGGCCGCGAAAGAAATGGAAGGCGAAGCGGACGGGGCCCAAGGAACCGAAGAAAAAACTGCAAAGGAAAAAGAACTGGATAGCGAAGGAACTGACAGCAATGGCAAAGAGACGGACAGCGGCATTTGGCATGCCAAAGCAAAGGCTGCCGAAGAGAAATATGGCACAGAAGGGGAGAGGAGAGACATGGACAGCAACCAGACGACCACAAAGATGGCTCGGGGACCAAAGGAACAGCCAGTACAAAAGCGGACAGCAAGACAATCGAACGGCAGAAGAAGATATGCAGACGAGGGTACGGCTCAGAAACGGACAGCCGAAATAGCGATTGCAAAGAATCGGGCAGCAAAGGAAGCTGTTTGGCGAGCTGAGCGACAGTACCTTCTTCGAGATGCGCGAAGTCCTCAAGCATCCGGTAGGCCGTGCAAGGATTCACCGCCACCGTGGCTGCATACTCGACCGGGGCGTCGGAACGCACTTTCAGCAGATCCTCCGCAGCACAGACTGCCGCGGTCCTCCAGGTGCCTGCAAGGAACATTTTGTATGGCGTTACTTCCGCCAACGATGTTGTTGTCAGCGCAGGCTTGGACAGCTGCCGCCATCGGAATAATTGATGACCCAGCTGTGAGACTCCAACGGTATGGATCGAGTCAGCATTTTGTACACCTGAACGTGGCCAGGGGATCCGTAGGGTCTGTGAGTAAGGATTCAAGTGCAAAAGACGGCCTGTCGAAATTCGAAGCGAGCTGAAGCTACAAGTACCAAAGCGCCAACTCCCAATTTTGAGACCGATCAGGGAAGCCCGACCTTAATAGGCTTCGGCCCTCTAGTACGAGTCCGGGTCGGAGGGCCAGGGCCCCGGCCCAGGCTACGTGCATGTCGCCAAGCAAGTTGCGTCGAGTAACAGGGGCCTGATGTCAACGGAAAACAATACGAGGTACTGTAGAATGTTAGGACTAGCGGCGATGACTGATGGGCCTTTCCGCGCAAGGTTCCAGCAACCAGGAGTGCCCTGTCATGAACCAACGGCTTTGGACAGAATCTAAGCAGCGCGCAAGAGCGAGCGAGCGAGCCCCCACAAACGTTGACCCCGTCAGAATCAGGGACTAATGATCAGAGAAGTTGGATGGCCATGCAAAGGTAGGGAAGGTCGCTCACCAAAAGCCTTTCCAGTCGAAGCTGGTATCACCCAGTCTGAAACGGCCAAAGAAGTCACCGCCGGCCCAACTTTTGTCACTCTGCCGACGCCCTCCAAGCCTGCTACCGCTGGCAAGTCCGGCTTAATCCCGTAAGTTCCTGCAATATTAAAAGGCAGATATACTTACAAAATTGTCACGACTTCTAATTTGGATCGAAGCTGTTCATAGGGGACCTTGTGAAAGGAGCCTAGGATCTCACGCTGTCTGTTGGAAGGACGATAAAGTCAAAAAGGAGTAAGGGGTCGTGAAAGTGACTCTTTCTTCTCACACCTTTTCAAACCATTTTGCACATTTTATTGGGGAGTCAGCGACCCGCCTCGTTGTAGAAGATAGAGAAACCACCCTGGGAGCGTCACGCTGATCTGCAAATGATGCTTCCATGCAATTCGGAACTATATCAAACAATGTTCGCTCCTCAACTCTGCAATTTGCAACATCAGGAGCTTTCAGTTCCTGCAATTTGTGTTAGACTCCTGTGAGAAACAGAATAGACGGAGTCAATGACCAACCTTCAACCAAATTGATGTCGGAGGGATTGATTGGAGCCGCGAGCATGTCCACCTCCACTTCATTGTCCTCCGGTGGCTTGAGCGGCATCTGATCTTGCCTGCAACGAAGAAATTGAATGCCTTCAAAACTGTGGTTGGTGATGAGTGGAAAGTGGCAGACACCGTCGATTCACCGGAGCAATCAAAGCTCAGTTCTGCGAGCTGATTCAGAGGGGTCTACTTCAGAAGCTCGTAGGCAATCACCTTTCTGGACCCTCAGCAAAGATGCATTAGAGTGGGTGCAACAAGCGGTTCAGCTTTGAAAACATTTCATCTTGGAATGCCATGAAGAGATTGAGAGCTGAACGGAAGTGACTGAATAGTGGCTGCAAGCAGGCAGCCCACACTTTTGCCATACCAGAAGACTTTGCAAAATTAACTGCGCCTCTGGCTTGACAGCTCAGGAGCTCTCCGGTGGAAGCAGCTTACCGCAAAACTCTGTCTGGGGGCCCATGCTGATCAAAGACGACGGTGGTAGCGACAGTCGCCATGCCTTGGACCCTGCTCTGCCAGAAAGGCTGTATCTTCCCAAAGCACGCTGGGAATTGGCATGCAGAGTACCGCAGGAAAGGCTTTGTGGTATGGTGCCCTCGCAATGCTGCCATATGTTTCGCAAGGTTCACAAGGTTGTGATGCCTCTCCTGATTATCATCCTGTTCCTTTGATCAGTGTGCAACGTGCTTGCAGAACCTCCTCCTGCTCAAAAAGCGTATGGCAGCGGGGTTCTCAAATGCGTCGCCGTTGTTCCAATTTGTAGAGAAGCCATGTGCCTTGGCCCAGGCCCAGGCCTAGGTAGGATTCGATTGTGGCTCAGCTGTCAAGACGCCACAAAGAGTGCAGCGCTGATCGAATGTTCACAGCTCCAGATTCTGCTCAATCCACGTCTCAAGGAAGTCGACACTTACAGTGCTTTGCAAGCTCAGGTCTACAAAACGGCTGCTCTGGTTTAAGGTCTGGTTAGCACTGGCGAATAACCTGTTTCTGATAGGTTCGGTTAGAAGTTTGACCGCCCCATTTAAAGCAGGGCCAGGGCTAATGGCTCCTGCCATTGCTGCAGTTAACCTGGCCGGCCTGGACAGCAAACGAATCTCCTCTCAAGAAAGGCGCAAGCAAGCACAGGACATCCACACTTCAAGGGCGGATGCTAGGTATCAGCTTACCCTCACTTTTTCATGGCAAGCAGGGCCTAGCTGATTGGGACGCAGGGGAGCACTCTCCAGTGATATTGCTCAACGGATTTAAAGGCACACCAGCTGCCAGAAGAGGACACCAAGCTCTTGGTCTCTCACCAAATGCTGAGACCGAAGCGGTTCTCTAATCTGCAGATATGTTCTTCGCTCCGTAGTGTCACCTAGTCCCTGTTCACATTGACCGAATTCTCTCAGCCTGAATCACGCTCCTCTTGAGTCCCTCAAGCATCGAGCCTTAGTTCTAAGTGAAATCTAGTGCTGGTGAGCGTTTCGCTGCTCATCTCCTCTCTTACTTTTGATGTTGCTGGCTTCTTTTCCGGGCATGGTTTTGGTAGTGATATGCCCTCTGGTAGATATAGGTTGAAATTGATCACTTTGGGTCAGCATTGTAAGAGTTTACCGGGATCTTTCAAAATCCTCAAGCGGCATCGTTGTTGGGGGAGTTTCCACCTAGGCCAGCTCCTAACTCGCGACCAACTCAACTCACAATTGCGTTGCAGCTTCCTACTAGGTCCTGACTCCTGGATGCTGGAGAAAACCCTTGTTTTCATATTGTTGTGACCCGTTTAGCCGTTTCAAATCCTAGTATGCTTGACCATGTTTATGACGTAAGAGCCACTGCTGAACGGCCTCGCTTAGTTGTTCCAGAATGTATTGCGCTTGACAGGTGCTGGCTTTTAACGGCCAGTTGCAATGGGCGGTTCTGCATATCTTGAATTCGAACACCTTGTTTGTAACAAGGTCAGATTGCGCTCGAAAAAGAAAGCCTGACTGTGCAACTCTGTATTCGCCCTTGCAGCTGCCTTCTCAAGGGCCTTCTCAAGGTTTCACTTAGCCGCCCTCATCTACTTGATCACCCAGTCTGAGTCGCTGTTTGACTCTGCAGAGTGATACATTTGCTCCACGTCCGCACGGTTTGCTGCAGCTTCCTCTACCTCATCTTCTTCCTAATCGGAATTTTGCCCCTCGCCCCTCATGTTTTCCTACTCCAGCTCGCCATCACTCTCTGGTTGCTGGTTCATCTCTCTCGCCAGCGTCCAGGTGAGCTTAGCTTCTGAATTCTCGTATGCAATAGGGATGTCAAAGCTTTGCTGGTTTGAGGTCTCTGAGAATCAAAGGCTGCTTACTGCGAAAGGGCAAGCCAAAGTCAGACAGTTCAGCCCAGGCTCCTACCATGTAACCTGCACACTGACAGATCAGCAGGGGGTTGTAGGCTCTCTCAACACTGTAACACTGCACTGGCAATTGAGGCAATCAGACTTATTGTAACCACACCCTTCAAAATTGCGTCGACTTATCCATTTATCAACACGAAGCTAGTACTTCCAGCATAAAGTCGCATGTTTGTTGCTGGAGCAGTGACATGAGGGATTTTATTTGCAAGAGGAATTGGTAAGCAGGAAGTAAATATTGCGCAGCTGCGCAAGGGGTAACGTCTCATCAGAAAAGTGGCGAGAGAATCATATCAAGCTCCTCGATTAAAACCTCGTAATTTGTCTGTATGCGACAAGGGCGCGGGGCAATGATGAAACTGCGATGCAAGTCTACTGGTCTCCTCTTCTTTGACAGGCGTTTTCATGAGCACCCTCAGCTAGCTAGTTCATGCTCAGTTGTGGTACATCTGATCATGGACGAGGCGTCACACTGCGAAGATGGTGACCACCTGGAGGAGGTGTTAGACGACATATACATTGGCGACTGTGTCTGTGCACTCTGCGACGAGGGTGGTGATTTGCTGTGGTGAGTAGCGATTGTGGTTTAGTAGATTCCGCGGAATCCCAAGCTACTGCTTTCGATCTCGTTGGTCCCTCAAGCTGACCTTTGCTCATAGACCAGATGGGGCCCTGCAAATCTTTGAATCGCCTCTGAACCTGGAGCCTTGTTGTCAGACAGGCTACGACTTATATATTGCTCAAGTAGAGTTTGCAAGATGGGACCCAACCAGTAACGCATAATGACCATGTCGCTGCCTCCGCTTTGAAATATCCGTTGCTAGGGGGCTTGGACAGAAGCTTAGAAGCAACACTAAGTGACGCCACAACACGTCATGCTTTGTTCAAGGCCCCTTTATTCGCGCCTGACAAAGTAACAACTAGAGAAAATGTCAAGCTTGTGGTGGTTCGAAGTGCACAAAACAGAGCTCTGCACTCAAACGCACGCATGTGACTCAAGTGCTTGACTCGATTCTTTCCCTCTTCTCAATAGTTGCGAAGGTGGATGCATGAGAGCATTTCATGCAACGAGAGAAGCAGGCGCGTCGTCACAATGCGTTACCCTTCAGATGGACGAGCAAGCAGTGAAGGTAAATTTGCCTTCTCTTACGCACGATTTGTTCTATGCCCCTCGCGAACAGATTGACCATTATGATTATTGAGGACATTATTGTTTATTAGGATGCAAAGCGTGACGAGAACGGCTGAAAATCAAGGGCATCACACAATTGTATGCTTTGGTGGCTCTTTGGATGTAAGCAACACGCTTTGAAATTAATTCTCTTCAGAGCAACTTACTTCGAAGCTGCAGTCAATAAAAAAGAGTCGCCACTCATCATTACCAATGTATCTAGCAGTGTTGGCACAAAAGCGTGTTCACAATTAGCACCTCATCATAATCATGTGGAACATAGTGGAGTTAAAGCTCATCAGCGGTCTCCTGAGACAACGTTGCCAATCTGGTCTGATTGCACTCCCGCAAATCAAATCTTGTTTATTCCTCTGCTGCATAAAACCCCGTTGCTTCAGCTCAGGATTGAAGTAGGATTATTCAAAGTAGGGTCCGGAGGCATGCCTCACAAAGTGACCGCTTGCTCAAACCATGTTCACCTTCCCCGACCCAGCACTTAGTACTTGTTTTGAAAGCTGTCTGGGGCGGACGCCCTCTTCAACATGGTCGTAAGCTCCTTATGTCCTTAACAAGTGTTGTCGTTGACTTTGCAGCAATTCTCATCGTGGAGCTGTCCAAACTGCGTGGCAAAGATTCATCAATGCTATGTGTGTGGAGAGCTCGGATCATCAGTCGAAGGAGTCGAAGGAGAAAACCAAGAGGTATGTTGCACAAAATTATAGATCTATTGCAACATTCAAATGACGCATGCGAGCTTTCAATCGACTTGTTCATTTGAAGATCGTTGAATGGTCGGTGAAAAAGCCTGTTAAACTTTTAGGTGTTAAAAGGTCTCAAGCGTCAGGCTAAAGAATCTGGCAATAAGAGTTCTGGATAAGCGGAGGATCATTGGAGTTGAGTTGTGCTTACATCTGCACGCACAGGCTTCACCAAACTAACAACTGGTACACGTGACACATTGCACTCCAATTAGTGGCTACTATTCTTGGGTTGGGCACAAGCAGGAGCGTTTGGTGGTGCTTTTAAGCTTGGTTGGTTCTTTTGATCTGTCCTGCAAGCTTGAGGCCTTGTGAAACGGACATTGATTGCAAGCTTCCATGATCTTTCTATCAATAATTCCACGACTTGGAAGATATCTAAACAATTGCCTTTGTCCTAAGCTTTGGTACTAACTTTGCATACTCAACCACTCAAAGATTGCCGATTTTTCCACGTCTGCAGGTGTTTCAATGTGGTGAAAGTGGTTGCGGTCATTATTATCATCTAGGCTGCCTAGCCCAGGTGATATCTTCTAAAGATGAATCAAACGAGGCGCCAGACCATGCAGCACAAAAAGCGGAGGAGGATCGAAGGCGGGCATTCTTCCGATGCCCACTGCACTTCTGCGTCGACTGCGGGGAGCTGGAATAATCAGGGGTGCACAACTGGCTGGTGAAGTGCAGAAGATGTCCAACCGCCTATCACGTGGAGTGCCTGCCATTGTGAGTTGCAATCTCCTTGTCCAACTTCGTGCAAGAGTATCATAGGTTTAGCGAACCTTGCAGCACTCGTTGACGCACGTTTGAAAGACGATATATGTTGCTCAAGTCTACTTAGAGATTGCCTTAAGGTTGAAGCTCCTTGGAGGAACAACTATGGAGTCTTTTGAGCACCACCGCAACTGAGACTTCAAGATGAATGAGATGCTTAGACTAGGAATTGCGTGATTGACTACATGTATTCTGTCATTGTATCCAGCGGGTTGCGATATGGGAAGACGGATTCCGCATCAGGCATCTTTCAACGGGTGTGGGGTGTGGACGATGAGTTTCCCCAGCGGGTGATGTATTGCAGGTGATCATTGTCTTTCACTGAGCACTGCTTGCGGTCATTCACGATTGATCGGTTGTTTCTTGTGAGCGCGCGCGTGCACCCCTTCCGCGTCTTGCTTGGCGGATTTCCCAAAGCAGTTCGCTAGCACGCACTAAAGTTCTCAAACGAATCCGAATGTGAGTTTGGACCGAATTCAAAGGGATAACTTTCAGAGCCCAACTATTGAGTTGTTTGAATCAACTATACTTGCAATATTTGGCTGCCTTTTCTGGCAGGATGAATCGATAGCTTGTTTGAGGCAATGTCCTTTTTCGTTTTTTTGTTGTTTTCGGCATTTCTTGTAATGAAAGGCAATCAACATGGCCTCTAGAGATGTAAGAAACATGACGGATAATTTCCTGTGCAGCCAACATACTATTGTTCCGGAGCTTGAAACACCATTGCGAGATCACATTTTGTCTCCTCTTGGAGACATTTTCGCGGAGGTTGTTGAACTGGAGCCTGTGGCCAACCTAGCGCAACATTCTAAGCAACATCAACGAAAACGGATAGCAAAGATGGAAAGTGATCCGAAGGTGATCAAACGCCGCGGAGTCCGGGAAGGAGATGACAGAGGCGCTAACGTTAGGAAAATGCGAAGAGAATCATATAGTTGTCTTCTAGAGCCAGACCCTAGCAGCCAGAAGTTGGAGCTTGTTGCCAAAGCTATTGGAAAAAGGTCCGATTTTTCCAAGGAATCATCGGAAAGCGAAAGTGAATCTACCAGTGATTTGCGTAAGCTTGGAGATGCGGCGGTGAATGGAAGAGCGTCTGTCTCAAGTAGACATGCATTGTACGTCGATAGAACGTCAAGTCAAAACCCCAAGGAATCTCAAACGAGCGCCTCTGCGGAATGTGAGCGTCTAACGTCCAACCATTCGGATATGGATGAAGGGGAAGAAGACAAACTTGTGGATCACGACACTCTTGTGAGGTGAGATACTTGTCTTAAAATCAATCAATCTTGTTGGATTCTTTTCAAGGCAATATTAGATGCCATCTGGACCTTCGTATTCCTTTTGAAAGTCCGACATTTTGGACGAGCCCCGCATCTAAAACCACCAGTTGACAATGGATCAAGCATGAGCATTCAATCACAAAGTCTCCACTCACAGGCCTTCACAAGCTCCTACGTGTATTCTTAAGAGTTCTTAGAGTTTTTAGAGTTTCAGCTATAAATGTACAACTGAAACGAATTTCTTGGCTTACGAAAAGCGCAACAGATGGTTTGGTTGTTTGATTGTTCATCTGGATTGATCAAATTCTTACAAGCTTAATTTGATAGAACGCTGCGCGAAAATCATACAGAAGCATGACAAAAGTTCACATTATAACCCGAACAAATGGATAATTGCATTATCTTATAGTGTTACAAACCTGGCGAGCCGACTTTGGACGACGGAGAAGGTGGATGAAACGCTTCGAGTACCATTGTCTTACCGACGACGCGATGCTGACAAACCAAGCAATTTCATCAAACGGAGGGAGATACAAAGCCTGATTGAGAAGCTGCCAAAGGTAAGCCATTATTATATGCAGATTCGAATGCGATTTGTTTTTCCATGTTTAATTGGTTGAAACATCAAATTCTGTGCCTATATTGGGATGAATGATCTCCTTAAAGATTGACGAATACTAATCTGGCATATATCTGTTTCTTTTGAACTTGCAGAACATTGATAGTGCACTGAACGTACTACAAGACCGAACATTGCCATCCAAGGCTACGCACAAACTTGTGATTGAGATGCTTCGGCCCGAGAGCTTGACCCAGCTTGAAGCGATCGAGGCAAGATACTTTTATAACCTACCGCATGTGATTACTGCTGAACTGCTGCTGCTTTGTTGAATGTGGATGCAGTGAAAACGAGGTCCATACGGTAAAATTCAAGATCATTTCGGTTCGAAAGAAGTAATGGTCAGACTTATCTTCAGAAGCTTTTCGTTATTGATGCCGAGCGCTGAGTATTTGCATCCTTTGTATTCTGCTTTGCCAAATCCTTGCTATCATCCCTAGCGAGCGTTTTGACATATTTCAAGCGACGAAACTGTTCTTCGTGCTGAAGCATCGTTTGTGTTAGTATGATTTTAGATCGAGCTTGTCTTTAGAAAGTTTATAATGTAACACAGTTTGTCACATGTACACTCATGTACACTGGTTCTCTCTTGGTTTGCAACGCGTTGAAAATCCGGTCTCTCTGCGCAGTCACAACTGGCAGTGCGAATAGCTCCATTCCTCCATGGAAGACGCTGTACGTCATTCAGACGCCACTTTACGGTGTCGAAAAACTTAGCAGAGGTGAGCTTTTTCCTGGGCTCTCGATTTGTTTGTCATCAAAGAGGGCGCTTCTACTATCTTTTGTCGTTTTTAGGCAAATATGATAGCGGTTAATCTCAAACTCAGAACCATGATCTGTGAGTATTTCTTCCCAGGTCAACTCTTATCACAATTGTTCAATATGATTGTTACATCAATCAGCCTGTGTCTCAAATTGATGTCAATACGAATCACATGCAATGTTTGTTTACTTTGGAAACGCAATTATAATGTTGTTGCACCTTGACCACAACCATTACGACGTCGCATTTAATATGCTGGCGTTAAGTTGCTTATATATATGTTGTAATTATTCAAACTGCAGATCATTGAGAGGTTGCATTGGTACATTGACGATGGAGATGTGGTAAGCATATGCCTATATACTCTTGCTGAAGTATTAACTAACGCCTTGCCTTTGAACAATTGACATACTTCGTTTGTCAGGTTTCTGCCACTTGAAGCTTGTTGTGTTTGTGCTTAGATCATGGGTCCCTGATGTTTTAAATGTTGCCACTTTGTACTTGAATCAAGCAAGCGGCCCAAAAGATAGATCTCATTGAGGCCATTACACAAGACTGACGATTGCTGCAGGTGGTGGATACGTCTTGCGGGTCCAATGAGTGGTCAATGCTGCTTGCAGCCACGTTAGAAAAGCAGGGGAAGCGAGAATGCCGGTTTTAAGAATTTTGACATTTGTGAAACCTCAAACCCATTCCATTTCGAGAAGAAGGATTGGTTCGAGGTTTCCAAAGATGATCTTCCAACCGGAAAAAGCCTGGTGAGTACCACTGTTTATGTCCCATGAATTGCACAAGGATAAACAACGTAGATGTAAGCAAACGTTTATTGAGGCAAAGTGCTTTTGCGTGGATGTCATTATGTTTCACTTATAGTGCTACTACTGTTGGTTCGATTTGCTTCAAAATTTTCATGGTAATGTAAATTTCAAAATAGTAGCCGTTCGAATGCTAATATATCAACGATCTTCAGATTGTTCCGCTGACCATTTGGATGAGTACCACAGACTTATGCCCGAATCTATAATCTACGAGTCAAGCTCCAGCCTACAAGTTCTACGTTTCAAAAAATTGCAGGTGTTTGGGTTAAATCCACCTTTTGGTCAGCTTGGAGAGCGAGCGAAGGACTTTGTGGAACGAATGTTCACGTTTGAACCAAGACTGGTGATTTTGATTGCCCCAAAAGCAGCAGAGTAAGAAACCTTTTCCCGTTATTCATACTATAAATTAAATTTCTCGGTATATGTGCAAAGTTTCCAGGCATCTGCGCTTCATATACTGCTTCTCTGTAGTACTCCAAATGCGGTACCTATTTAGGGTAGAATGCAGTTAACAATTGCATAAACGAGCTCGTTGTACATACATCAATGAATGAAAAGCTTTTCTCAGAGTCTTATATAAATTGCCACCTTTATGATTGCAGAGTGGACAACCCCCGCTATGAGCTCCTATGGAAGGACACCGAACTGTTGAAGGGCCAGGTGAATTCTTATTAACCCATCATATTCGAGCATGAAGCAAAAGTTTGCAAAGCCAACCGTTCTGGATACCTTCTTTTCAAAAGAAAAGCTTACTGAATCCCTCTACTTCGTTTTGAGCTTGGAAAGCACTGCAATTACTCTGTGAACCAATCTGGAACGAGCTGCCTTTTGTCTTCCAGATACAATCCATCAATTGTTGGCACTTCAAAGTTTGCTTGTGAAAGTCTGCTCGTAACAAGTTGACCACATGCATTACATATGTTGAGTCTAATGCTCTAGTTCCCGCTTAGATGCTTTTGGAACATCGTGTAACAATTTTCAAGCTGTCTACAGGCGTTTTACCTTCCTGGTTCAATTGACGACGGGGGAGACGTGGTACCTCAACACAACAACGACCCTCCTCCACTATATCTATACGGACGAAAAGACTACTCCGACAAGCACCATGCTATTACCATAGAGCACAAACTGCTTCGGATAGCAAGTGGGCATCTGCCACCAATCACTTTATAACAAATCATCGGCACAGCCGCGTGAAGCATTGCCGAAGGCGAACCATATGTGCACATATAATCATACGTTGTGCTTCTGAGAACGAAGACGAGCTTCAAATATTGTGTTTCAAAATTTGAATCAAATTATTCATCACATTGCTATCGGATCGGTGCATTGTAAGCCCATGTACCAAAGGAACGCAATTGCTGTGCGTACCTTTGCCATTAATGAATAGCGGAGTGATTGAGTTCTTTGCTCCGCCTGAGGCCGTCAAAATCTTGAAAAGGACCAAAAGTGAACATTCGAATCACTGGAATCAAACGTTTCAATGATGATCTTTGGTAATAACCTTCATGTATATATGTTTAGCCGGATTATACCCACGACCGTTTATATCAGCGGCAACTTGACAACATCTCTCAGCGTAACTTGCAATATGGTGCCGCCTGCATAAGCTCGATCATTCATGATGTTGAACTAGAAGCCCTTCCAGACGGCCATGAAGCAGGCGCAACTTCCGACCATTTGTCGAACCATGTTTAAATCGAATGGCGTTGGCCGCTGGTCAGTTCAGGAAAACTTCCATTCACTATTGAGTTGCCGACTCGAAGGCTTTTAGGCTAAAAGCTTTGAACAGATTTATTTGCTGTCATTTCATTGCAAGTACTGAACAGCAGAATTGAAAATCTGCATGACAGGTTCACAAAGGACCGCACCGAAGGTAAATCAACAACGCCCTATGTGTACATAGGTAACATAGCATTTCATTCGAAGCCTTGGAAACGGGGCCGGGCTGTGGGGCAAAGTTGGTGCATCGACTGCCCGGTTGATCACTTTGGGTCTGCGGGATGCTCCTAGCTGGGGGACATGATCACCGGTCAGCCGGTACGGCGTAACGCTGACGGTCTCACTCTTGTAACTAATAAATTTACAACTCGGCGGAGTTGACCGCGCTACCCCCGGGCATAGAGTATCAATCAGCTAGGTAGGACCCAGGTAGCTCTCACTGGGTACGCTGAATTCAGTGCGGCTATGCTAGTGACGCGGTGTAGTTTGAAACTGTGAATTTGTACCCAGCAGTAACAACCGTGTCAGAAGATTTTGTGTCAGATTATTGTCTGGTGTCAGTTCCACGTCAGCGGCTATGCTTTCACGCGTGTAAATCGGATTGCCGTGTCTTGAAAGTGAGTACCGAGTCGCCGCAGTAGACGATCGGCGGTACGGTACTCCAATTTGAGTTACCGTCGCGCGCGACTCAGTCGACAAGTCACTGAGTCTGCAGTGCAACGTAATGGTACCAACCGTTAGCTTGAAATTCAAATTTGTTCGCGACGGTAGCTCTATGGGCCTGGGTACCTTGCTCCTGGACCTCTACAGCCTAGACCTACTAGGCCTAGCTCCGACCACTGGCCTCCCTTTGCCTACACCGCCGCTAGTACCCGGTATTGTAGTACGCCGACCGGTCTGCAAGGACCCGGTATTGCCAAGGGTTGCCAACTTGAAACGTTTGTCGCGCGCGACGGTACGTAGGCCAGTAGCCTCGCGGAACCAGTGTGTACCAAATTGGATTTTGACCGTCAGATTGCATAGCGGTAGGTACCCGGCCAAATTTCTCGTACGGCCGGTTGAAATTCTGGGACTTTGCTGACATCCATGGCGCTTCAGGACTGGCCCGAGAAACTTTCGACCCCTCCGAAAATATTCTGCGGGTAACCACCGGGCAGAAGTTTGCCAGGCCTGTTCCCAACATAGTGAATGAAATGCTATGATCCCCTGGCGGGAGCCAGGATTTTTCAATGAATCCTGCCATAGCTCGACATTTTTAAGGCAAAAAGCGCCGGGTTTTCCTGGCTGGAAAGAGTTTTTTCATGGTAAAATTCGTAAATCCTGGCGGGCTGCCGCCCGCTTATGGCACTGCCTGGCGGGCCACTGGGATTAATTTACGGCAGTGGTTTTCTCCCTAGCCGCGGCTTCCACGTCGAAACCCTTGTTGCGCGGCTCAGTTGCGGGTGGGCGCTGAAGTCGGTGCGGTCCCCAGACTTCAAATTCGGATTTTATAGTATGTATTCGGAATCTAAATTGTCGTCAACTTGCACATTGAAATGGCTAGGCTTTGCCATGATTTCCAATTTCATGACGATTAAGAGAGCATGCATGAAAAGCTGAGTGTCTGAAGCCTACATTCTTTTCCGCTGACGATCCATCTTTTGTAGCCACACTTTACTACTTCCGACACATGCCACCTACCCGGCTATCTAAAATCGATTTGCATTGGCACATTATTTAGAATTGACCCCGAGACTCAGCGTTTGGCACCTAACTCTTCCAAATCTTGAGCTGTCTACAATTAGTTCAAACGCCAACTCAGTGCGTGGCATGCAAAGTCATCGATAATAATGGTACATGGGTCACACTGTTTTGTTGGCTGATGCAGATCCAATATGTAACATGATTGGCAATGAGAATGATATAATCAAGTTTTGATTTAGACTCTACATGATTGTGATTCTAGCTATCATAATTCAAGACGATACACGAGAACAATATCGGATTCTTGCGGCCAGTCTAGGCTCATCAGTGCCACATGCTAGTATTTGATATCTTTATTATTTCGATTCAACCGTCACAAAGGATAGTGTGTACCATCAATGCGCGGCCCCGTCAAATCAATTAGGTAGTCTAGCTTTTCAGTTCCTACCTTCTAATTTGCATCAGTTGGTCCTAAACCTATCTGATCCTGTGCGTGCATGCAATACTTCTGTTAAGGCTGCGTATTCTTGGCGTATTCTTTGCAGGTCGGCTTCTGTACTGCTGCAAGCGGCCATGGCAGCTGCTAGACTTTCTCGTAGTCTTTGGTTGTCCGCGAGCACATTCGCAAAGCGACTCTGAAAGATGAGAAAAAGGCAGGTTTGTGAATCTCGACAATGATCGAGATCTAGCATGAGAATTGCACGACAGGTTTACAGTCCGACCTCAACTGCAAGAGAAAGATTGTACAATGTTCATAACTTTAGTGAATCATGGTCGCTAGATCAACAATGGAATGGAATTCGCCTCTATAGCTTTCCGGCTGCTCAAATTACAAACTCCGGTGACAAGCAAACTTGATGACAGAATGCATTGCTGACAATCATCGGATGTAATTTCAACAAACTATTATCTGATCAATGAAAGCTAACATGATGCTCAAACAAGAGAAGAAAGCATCCTTTGAAAGTCTAGCAAGCCTACCTCCAATCTCGCATTTTCATCATCACCTTTGGCGGTTGAGAACTCCCCCATGTTGGTAACAAGCACCTGTCAAAGAAGTAAATCATGTTTTGTTGCACGCTTCCTGGGATGTCGTGGTCGAGCAACGAGATGTTTGTATGCTGACACCCCGAAACGGCCTCAAGGAGTGGTCAAGATACAACTATAGGTAGCGCTGAGAAGAGGCTCCGCATTGCGTTTCTTTCATCCGGGTGGTCGAACACAGTTCCTAGGTTCTCAACTCACCTCGAAATCCTTTTCCAAGCTGTTGCGTCGGGCTTCACTCTCCTTCAGCCTTTCTTCGAAGTCCACGCTTTTCTGGATAATGACGGCAAGGTATGTTGAACCCGGTCAATTGTTTGATACACTCGTTGATTTATCTGAGTTGAGTTTATCGCCAACACCTTCAAAGCAATGTACTAGAGCTTGTTGACCATGTCACTAACCAGCTTCCGACAATACAAGAATCGGTCAACACTTCTATGATGCTGGTTGTCACACCTTTTTTCAATAGAGGAAGGACCATGGGTTTCTGAGTGTACCTTCTTGAGAGCCTCAAGTTCCTCCTTGTGGTAAGTTTCCTCGCCTTTGCCCGTCAGGCGTTGCTGTAGTTCACTTCTCTCAATATCCAACTGCATGCACGGCATTTGTTTAGTCACCCAAACAAAAGGTTGACAATCAACATTGTAGGAGATCGACGTCGAGGAGAGTCGACGGGGATTCGATGGGAATGAATACACGATAGTCGCAATCCTCATTGTCAATGGGCACCGCTGATCCTCGACTAGAACAGAGCATTGATAATCAACATTATGGGTTAGGGATTGCTAGAAGTGCATCTTTACTATCAACGTTCTAAAGAAACCGAACCGACCTTGGAAAGCAACCCAAGCATGTTCTCCTTCTCCTTCAGAGTGTTGGCAAACCTGTTGAGAGTTGAAAGTTGGAAAAAATATCAGTCCAAGCAACCCATGGTCCAAGTTCGCTTGAATCTGCGCACATGTCGGCCGCCCGGGCGCTCTCTCGGGCGCTCTCTCTTTCTGGTCGCCTGGTTGGATTTTATCCACGCATGATCGTTGATGACATGATGCCTGCTTAGCTATCCTAATCCTACATCACCACGTCGAATACACGTAAGCTCCAAGAAATGATTGTGTTGAAGACTTTCCACATTGACGGAAAAGCATGGACAAGATTGCTTGGGTTACACGAGTGGAGTTGAGCTCACTCTTCTTGAAGCTTGGTATGGCTCTCCCTCAAACGAGCTAGCTCCTTCTCCATTTCCCTCCTCTCCCACCGCGCCTCGGCACCCGCTTGTGAATGGTCGCCCTCCAGATCTTCCTGTCGAGGTCCCTCTCCATTTCTGCGCTGCAACTTCACGATCTCGGCGTCCTGAGCGTCCTTGATCGCTTGCAGCTCGTCCACTTGGCGCTGAAGGGCCGACACTTGACTCTCGAAAGCGTGCGCCCGTTCTTGGAGCATTGCCGTCTTCTGGCCTTTGTCCTGAGAAGCATAAGCAAACTTTGAGATCAGTAGCTTGAAAAGATTGCGCTAACTCACGGAGCCGTCGGAAGCATTAGTGGCATCGGAGTAAAGATGCTACAATTCATATCGGGCCTTCCTGACAACTTCAGTGTACAAACCGTTGCTTGAGCCAATCTGCAATCTTCACCTAAGACAGATAAGTAAGGCTTCTCCAACCCCTTCGCTTCTTACCAAGTCTGAGAAGGAGACGGACCGAGTGGTTCCGCTTAAATTTTGACTCACTTAGCTTGTTCCAGAAGTGAACGCGAAAACGTGCATTCAAAGCCTGAACAACGCTTGTTTCATGTGTTGCAGGCCTGAATACGGCCACACGTTCAAGCCCTGAAAGACATGTACACATGCGGATCCTTCTCCTCGTCTTGTTCAGGTTCGTACACCAAGACGGGCACACACCGAACCAGTGTGACCGTGTTCATTTTACTTGCCTGTGTCGTGACTTCCAGCACGTGTTCTTGCGCGCGCACCCGGGCCAGCAATTGCTCTAGCTCCCGCACGCGGGCATGCACTTGTTGACATCTCGCCATCAGAGACTCCTTTTCCTAAAACGGAGAAGAGAAGATCTTGAGATCGCGTTTCGACTACCCAAAATGCTCGCGAGTCTGTGGCTTCTCAGGCTTTGCAAAGCGGCTCTGCTATAAGTGTGCCTCATCAACACATCTGGGAAGTCGAGGGTTCAGTGTGTGGAAAGTAAACTTGAGACAAAGGCCGATTCTAACAGGGACGTAGGTTCTTAGCATTATCGTTTCTGAATTCATTCTCGCCGACCTTTACAAGCGCACCCTTCCGCTACATACTAGAGAAAGACGAAGGTCGGGCCTGGCCCAGCCAGTCTACAAAGCGGTTTTCGATTGGGTTCTGATAGACCACGACGATCAACCCGGTTTATGAACGGTTGCCACCCACAAACTTGGTAGAAAATTGTTCGGAAAATAAGTCTCGGCGACGAACAGCATTCTGGACGAAGTACTCGCTACAGAGGAGCTCTGGAGATTCAGGGGTTGCATTGGTTGTCAACAAGATGCTCACGTTTTCGCCGTCTTGCAGGCGGGCCTGGAGGGTTTGCACCCGAGCTTCCGCTCCCGCTATCTCCCGCTGCAGGTACGAGCGGCTGTGCTCCAACTCAACGTTCACCTGAAAGGAGTTCGCAGCGTTCGTCAGGAGACAGAGTACTTCAACGAAAAGGAGTTGTCAAACGACCTTAAAGCTCAGAGAAAAGACTTTGGGTATCAAAAAAGCCTGGAGGATTTGCATCGTAGTCACTTGTGGCGCCGCAAGAGCTCACCTAGTCGAACAGAGGAGAGCTCAGAGGAGGAAACGCTCGAAGTACATAATCCGGAGCAAGCATTTCTCTCAAGCGACATCGAGAATCAACCCGTGCTTGGAACAGGGAGGACGCCCACGTTTGAGGGAAGGATGCTGAAAAGTCACAGCTCTGCTTGTGGACTGCAACGTCGCAGTCTCGATAAAACTCAAGTTTTTACTCGTAGCCTGTCGACGTCAAGACCAGATCCAAGGAAATCCGACCCTACTTTGTCAATCAGCCATAGCATACTTTGACGTTGCAGACGAACGCGGTCGAAAGAAGCTTCGCTTGTAGCCGACAGCGAAGAGATCGATCCTCACCTGCTTGGCGGTGTCGAGTTGGACTTGCAAGCCCGCCTTGTCGGTCTGCAGCTCCTCCAGGATCTCCGCTTGCTGCGCCAAGGAGCGGGACAGCGAGTCGCACTGCCGCTCGTAAGCCTGAGTACGACAAAAGTTGCGAATTCACATGAGTTGCTGCAGCTTCCAGCATTCAATCACGTGACCGAAACGACATCCGCAAGTAAGGAGAGTGCGCGATAGGAAAGCTTCGTCGTCATCTCTGCCAGGCCATCAATAGGGCAGCCGATCGGCGTTCGTTGACTGGAATGCTCCTGAGATTGGACACAAGCCAGAGACACCTTTTTCAAGTTGATTTGAACAGTTCGAGAACAGTTGGAAATTGATGAAAGATGTCGCACGAAGTGGCTTTGGGTACAGACCCGGCACGAAGCTCAAGTGTGACGCTCAACGTTCCTCCCTTGTTCTGCCTACGAGCATTTTGACAAGTGACAAGTCCCCGGATATGGGCACCTCCGAAACTAATGAAGCCGGCACAAGGCATGAAGGGTCCTGCGCCTGACCTGCAGGTCCGAGATCTGCTGATGCGCTTCCCCCTCCAGCCCCTTGATGTGGTCTTGCATCGCTTGCAGCGTGTCCTCCAGGGATGCCGCGTGCAACTGCAAGTGCTGAATCTGCACGGACACGATAAAGCTAGTTTGATTGGACCGACGAGTAAGAACTTCAGAGCAGACTTTCCTTGCAATCTTCACCACCTGAGACGGCTTTCAGTATCTGACCAAAATACTTTTGCCGCTCGGACCAGAAGTTGTCGCGCCACTGCACTCTTAATTATTCGGCGCAGTCCCTTCAACTAGGTATTCAATTCGTCTGATCAGCTGGTCATGTATAGAAGCTTGCGTTTAAAGGAGGATGCAAAGATCTGAAAACTTTTGCATTCCTGGAGGATCGAGGTTGGCGACTGCATCACAGGCTGAGCCAAGAGTTGCGGTAGTAGGTCATCACCTCGTGTTGGGCTTGCTGAAGCTCGGTCACCAGGCGCTGGTTCTCCTCTCCGAGTTGCTGCAATGACGTCAGAAGGCCCTCGTGCTCCTTGTCCCGGGCGCGCAGCAGCTGCGACCGTGCAAAAAATGGGTGTCAGTACGGTCTTCGTGGGGCTGTCCTTCTGGTAGCTGCATCACCGCTCGCGATCAATTCGTCACTTAAAGAGACGGTTGCTTTCGGCCGTGCATGCGGGAAGAGTGAACCTCATCGAGCAACGGCCTCGGACGGTTCCAGCATTTGGGGATTTTCTGGTCGCGTCGACTTGCTGCAGGCGCCTCGTAAGGTGAAGGCGTGACGGACAGCAAGCAAAGGGACTTCTCTCAGGTCGACGTTACGACTAGCTGATTCCGACCTACACGAGGAAGTCGATGACTGGATCTGCTAAACGGACTGAATTTTCAACAAGCGGTGCTGAGCACCATTGAAAGTCGACGGCGACCGTCGGGGTCTCAAAGGTTGCAACATCAGCGTCCTGCGCAAGGCCGTGACTCCAAAGAGACGTGACATCAGCAATAATTAGCTTCGAAAGCTGTTTGTCACCGTACCTGCTCCGCGTACTCGAGCTTCCGGGCCACCCGCTCCAGCTCGTCCTGCAGAGCGTTCCGCTCCTCTGCTACTTGGACCAGCTCCTGATTCAAGTGCTGTATTCACGGAACGGAAAAGGAGACGTGAGGGGAAACGGACGAAAAGCTCGGATACTGAGCGCTGCACTAGGAGCAGGAGATCTGCCGAAAACGGGATGGCCCAAACGGGCGGATAAACTTGAGAATCAAGACTGTGTTTGCGAAGCACAAAGAGAGTCGTCAAAGGAACCGCGAACAATGAACTAGGACGGACGGCGGAGTCTTGGAATCCCAGGAGCGTTCGGAAGGAAAAGTTCAAGAAGACAGAGCGGTCAAAACAGCCGGAATAGTCGGAACGGACTGTGCATGAGGACTGACACTCAATATTTTAAAAGGCGCTTCACGTACCTGTTGTTCTCGCGTCAGGTTGGCAAGATCGTCCGCAAGCGACCGCAGTTCGCCGGCCTGCATCAGAGCAGCACAAGTCGTAGTCAATCTGGTCGGGATTCTCAAAGAACACTTATATTCCCGGCCGTTTCCGCAGTTCCGGTGTCTCTTTGTAATGTGCCTACTTTGTTATCCAAACGAGACCCTTGTCTTCTCTGCTTTCCTTGAGCATTTGACAGCTCCTCCACCACTTTGAGAAGCAACTGAGCGTAATGAGCAATAATATTAATATGAGCAACTAAACGGGCCCAAGAAAGGAGTTCGGGAACGCGCTGGGGGACATCCACAAGATTCCCTCACGAACGCTTCACGCTGGCTGTGGGCACTGGCCTAACATGCAAATACCTGGTCACCACAAGAACAACCTTTGCGGTCAACAGGAACTTCGACATCTCCGATAAGAGCCTATCAAAGCACTTGCCAAAGGAAGTTCGGGCGATCGCACCTTGATGTCGCACTCTTCTTGCAGGGCACCGTTTGCGTCGGTCTGCCGCCTCAGGTGCTCCTGAGTGCGGGTCACCTGAAGTGGAGCACAGTGGTCACTAAATCTTAAAAGCGTCTGCCAGGAGCATGCAAGAGACGTCCAGATGTTCAGACCGCGTGTAGAAGAGCTAGCCCGCCTCATGTTGAGAAGGACAGCGGACGTCCTGACGTACACGAGCTCCGTCTGACGTACACGAGCTCCACTAGAAGCCTTTAGTGGTTGCAACCCAATTTGAAAGTAGGCCCCCACACAAAATCGTCAACGCCGGAAAGGAAGCGTACGAAGTGACCCTTGCTGACACAGGCAGAGTCTGAATCGACACCGTAAAGGGCGACCACAATACAATGTTCGTACCTCCTCCTCCGCTTGTGTCGCCCGGGCGGTCGCCGTGGCCAGCCGATGCTCCGCGGTGTCCAGCTGCATGCGCAAGTCGGCCACGTGGCCCTGTGCGCTCGCCGTCTCCTGGACCAGCCGACTGATCTCTTCGGCGCGGACGTCAACCTGCGAGGTGTTTGAGGGAGATTCAGCGGACGCACGAAAGTCATGTAAGCATAAAGCAATGGGACCAGCCGCCGGATGCCACTGCTTGGTCGTCAACCTGCGCGATAAGCGAGAGGGCATGTAAGCACGTGAGTAATGCTGAACGAAGTTGCACGCAGGAATAAGGCCTCGCTGTCCCCTGGACCAGGGGGCTGACTTTCTCTCTCTCGGACGTCTACCTTCGGAATTGTTGGCTGCTTATGTGACCTCCGTGCGGAGGGAATAACGGAGCAAAAAGCAGAGGGGAGCAGATTCTGGGCAGAGTTGCAAGGGTGTGCGCTCGCCGTCTCCTGGAACAGCCGGCTGATCTCTTCCGCTCGGACGTCAACCTGCAGGATCACCGGATGATCGCATGACGTCAGCACAGTCCAAAATAAGCGTGAGCAGAGAATAAGGCTGGGGCAGAAAATAGGCAGGACTGAAAGACTGCGAGCTCGCGGTTTCCTCGACCGGCGGCTGATCTCCTCTGCTCGGACGTCAACCTGCGGGATGACTGTATGATAACGTGACGTCAGCGCAGCCCAATGGGATTACAAAAGCAGGAAACGAAAGGGAGCGGATCCCCGGCAGGACTGCAAGACTACACGCTCGCGGTCTCCTGGACCAGGCGGCTGATCATATCCGCTCTGACGTCACCATGCAGGATCCGGTCTAACGTAACGTCCGACAAAAGGGACGGAAGATCGAATCGAAGAAGAGCGGAACCGCCCTCTGCGTTGTTGTCTCCTGAACGAGGCGTTCCTCCACCCGGACTGCCATCGGTGGGAGACTGATACTGCCTTCCACAGAAATCTAGAGAAACCACAAGAGGTAAAAGAAACTGTGCGGAGGACCGCGGTCCTGCGCCCCGCCTTTCGCTGGACAAGGCGGCCAACGCTCATGTCTCAAGATCCGTTTTCGATGTTGTCGGACGTCATCCCCAGGATATGAGAGGGTCGCTGAAGGAACGGTATGGAGCAGGAGAAAGTATACGCACCTCTCCCTGCATGTGGTCCCTGTCTCGGTCGAGCGCCTCGATGACCTGCCGCAGCTGGGCGACCTCCGCAGAGGCCCTGTCTAGCTCGCGCTTCACGCCCGCCTTCTCTTCTTCCAGGCTGGACACGCGCTTGCTGGCGACGCGCTCCGCCGCCAACGAGGCCCGCAGCTTCGTGACCTGGAGAGGAGACAGGATTGTAGTTGGTAAAGCTTCCTGACAATAGCGACGAGAGATGAGATGAAAGCTGCGTGTCTGCGGTTGAAGAAGCCAATTGGTGTTAGTCTGAAGAGACTGTTGACCACGTCCTGCCTCTCCTCAGAGCTTGCACGTGTTGACTGAATGGTTGGTAGCATCTGCAAATTGAATCCTGGGGTTCGCAAAGAGACGCTTGAGCGGAAGCATTGCTTGATCGCAGGGTTGATTCCGACCAGAAGGAAGACCGCTAGCAATCACCCCTTAAATTCGAAGCTTAATATCCGGGGTTCTGGGAACGTTGTAATAGGTGGTCTGCGCTACTTTTTGCAACGGCCAAGACCATTGCTTGCTTCTTGCTCCTCGCTACCTCGACAAGGGCAGTGTCAAGTTTATGCTCCAGCGATGCTTCACCGCACAAATCAAAAACCCGGTCGCGTTTTTATTGTGGATCACGGAAGCTTCGAGACAAAGTGGTACTTTACGACCGATAATGACATTACATTCCGACAATCGAGTCAAAGCGGCCAGCAAAGGATACTGGCCAAAGTTGTTGACACGAAAGTGGCTCAGGACCTTGTGCTCACGGAGGAGTTTTGAGAGCAATCTGTGCGCAACCGTCGCAGGCTCACCAGATCCTCCCTGGTCGAGTCCAGCTGGGTGATCAGCGTCTTCAGCTGCTCCTCGTCTTTCTCGGCGTTGTCCAGCTGGTGCCTGAAAGAGCGTTCGCCACTGTGAGGCTCCAAAATTCGTATCCAGGCAATCGAGGAGTAATCAGAAACAGATTCGAGTCGACAATCAACAGGTCGTGCGGGACACCCCACGAAAGACGGTGAGGTGCTTCCATGTTGATCCCCTGACCGCCAACAGGATCGCTCGGGACAAAAAGCTTGAACGATGTTTTCCAAACACATATCAGCCTTGAAACTTGAAATTTTGATACTTTGTTTTTCAGAAGTTGGTGTAACGAGACCAGCAGGTAAAGCTCTCTTTCTCTGATTGCCGTCACGCCATCCCTGGTGAGGAGGGCTCGCGGTTGACAGGCATGCCCCTAATGGTCGAGCGCCTTTGACCGTTTCCGACTCGAGACCGGAGTATCGAAACCCTCACAACGGATTGCTACTGCACCTGCTCACCCGTTGCCTATCAGATTTGACACGCGGTTGTTCTCAGCAATTGAGTGCGTCACTTTTCCGGAAGCGTTCCCGAACCACCAGGCTCATAGAAAGTAGGAGTACTTACTTCGCCTCGAGTAGCTCTTCCCGCACCTTTGACGCGGCGCTCCGCTCCTTGTCGCGCTGAGTCGTCAACTCACTGACCTGCGTCTCGAGCGAGTCTTCGCGCTGCTTCGCCGCCTGGAGACTTTGCCTGCAACAACTTTGTGTGCAGCGTCAGGAAAGTTGCTTGTCCAGCTTGAAAGCCGCACGCATGAGTTTGAAACGTCGCTGTCTTCCGCTGAGTGCCGGGTACGAAGACCCGCTTACTCATCCCTGCCAGTGAGGACTTTCCACAGCATCTAGAGGGTTTGACGAACACGAGAAGAGCAAGCAGGAGTATTAATGTCGAACTTGGTGAAAGAGGCAGAGTAGAAGCAGAAATCTATGCAGAACAAAACACAGGACCATATTGAGGGAAGTGCCAAATCCAGTCTGCACCGAAGCAGACCTACCTTAGGGTGACGCACTGCCGCTGCAATTCGTCGCCTTGAAGAGACTGCGTTCCCATGCCCTGTGCAAGGGAAGGTGACTTCAGATCACTCGGATAAACAATCAATTCTGAAAGTGCTCCGCTTCCCCAGACGCACTGATCTCGACGTATGGCGGACTGGACTCGAGCGGTGATCTGCGCTCTCGAACCACGAAGCATTGACCAGACCCCGTACACAAGAGACGCTTTTTGTGATTTCCACAGTAAAGAGGACCTTTTTTGCAGAACACAAACGAATTCCGCGCTCTACCACGTGAAATGGGAACTCTGCGACGTGCTCCATTGATCACCGACTCACCAGATCAGCCTCCGCCAGCTGCCGCCGCAGCCGCAGCCCCTCCGACCGTGAATCCTGCAGGTCCTTACTGGCAGCGGCGTACTGCTTTTCCACCTGGCAGGACGAACGCGCGTGGTGTTAGATAGCACGCTTGCCCAACACGCTGTGCACCTCCGGCAGTCGTCCGATCAACCGACCCTTTTCCAGTTGAGAAACTAAAGCTTGTTGGTAGTGGGCTGCTGAACTCCATTCAACGGGTTTCAAGAGAGAGTCTGGCATCCAATCAAAGCCCTGAGCAAGTGGTTACTGACAGAATCAAGGGATGTCATTCAACATCACCGAGCAAGTCGTGTCCTATGTCTGTGGCGCGTTAAAATTTGTCAGTGAGCGCGAAGGGACTGTATTGTCACCTTGTCGAGGTCTGTGGCTAGCTTGGCTTCAGCTTCCTGCAGCCTTTGGCACTCAGCCTGCGCCTCTTTCGCTTTTGCAACCGCCTGCACGCGGACGCAAAGAAACCGGAAAGTCTGGATAAAGTTCCGCCAGGTTTTACACCTTTTACCGGATCGTTCGCAAACACTGCGAAAACCAACTGAATGGACACAGTCTTGGGTGAGGTTAGTCGTTCTCGCCGTCGAGGGTACAGAATGATCTGCTGACCACGCCAACGATGAGCCGCAGTCTTTAGAACAATCCAGTAACAAAAGCACTTCCGCGCCAGATCATGGGTCCCCTCGCTGGTCAGTGGCAGGTCTAAGATTCTCTTTACGAGGTAAATCAAGGACAAAAGTCTCTACTGAATATAGATTGTCCAGGGGAAGAGGATGCTTAGAGCGTCACCTCCTCAAGGCTGGTCTCGGCCCGCTCCTTCTCCGTGGCCAAGGACGCGCAGGTCTTCTCAAGCGTTACGGCACGTTGGCTGAGCTCCTGCACACAAGAGCAAAGTTGCCCACAGGCTTAGGTCTCTCTCGTTCGCCGTTCAGCTTAAGGGGCCTTACAGGAGTTATAACTGGGCGTCCGACAACCTTTGAAACGTAATGAGATGAACAGATCTCAAAAGACGGCCATGTCAGAGCGCACAGGTAGAGATGAGTATGATCGTTCATAGAAGTTCTGAAGCGCTACCACGTGAACTTTGACAAAAGCCACCGTACTTGAATCGACCATCCAGGATCAGTCAGGGACGATAGAAGTTCCGCTCAAAGATGGAACTTGCTCCATGTAAGCGGAGTAAGAGACTCAGATCTGTTGCAGAACTGTTGGGCCAAAGGACACAGTGACTCGTCACCAACTTAGATCGACTTTGCAACTAAAGGTAGCCACAAAGGACGATGGCTCGACAAATAGCTGACGAGCAGCACTATTTGGAGCGTTTTCCGTCGCCCAGTACGTGTTCTAATATCAGCTGTGGTCTCGCTTAGCAACGGCAACTTTAGCAAGGAAAGGGAGCGAGTACGACCGACTACTTACTTCCATCGTCTCCTGCATCTTCTTCGCCTGCACCTCGTAGTCCTCCTGCAGACACGCCAGGTCCGCTTCCCTCTCGCCCAGCTCAAATCGCAGCCTATCGACGGCCGCCTGCAGACCGCCCTCCCCATCGGCGTCAGCCCCCTCGCTGTCCGCCGCTCGTTGCAACCCCAGCTCCGCTGCTCTTTTTAGCGCCGACACCGTCCACTGCAACTCCGAGACCTGCGCTACCAACTCCTCGACCCTCCCCTTCAGCGAGTCCCTCTCGGCCGTGACTGCCTCAATCTGCTTCCCGGCAGCGAGGAGCTCCTGCTTCAGCCGTGCCACGTCACCCTCCTGGAGCCCCGACGTTCCGTACTGACCTTGCACGCTTTCTGTCGATCCCGCTGGCAACGAACTCTCCTCCCGGGTGCCTTCCACGTCCAATACAGTCGGCTTTTCGAAACCCTCCCCAGTCCCCGAGGTAGTTGTTGGACGGCCCGGGTCGCTCTCGTCTCGTCGCCGCAGCTCCTCCTGGAGAGTCGCCAGCATCGACTGCAGCTCCCGCAGCTGGTCGCCGTTTGCGCCGTTTGCTGACGCAGACTGCATTTCGGCGACCAGCGCCTCCTTTTCCCGCGCCAGAAGAGCGGCCCTTTGCTCCGCCTCCTGCAACTTCAGCCTCAACTCCTGGAGAAGCGCGTCTTTCGCAGCGAGCTCCGACTCAGTTCCGGTCATCGCTGGTCCACCTGCCCCTTCCGCAGCGCTTCTTTCCACCTCCAAACGCAGTTGAACCACTTCCTCGTCTCTCCCTGCCAGCTCCCGCTTCAAAGTTTCCGACTCCACTTTCAGTGACTCCACCAACGCTTCTGCGGAGCGCCGCTGCTCATCGACCTCCCGCAACTCCCTCTCAAGCTCCTCGACTCTCCTCCGGAGCTCTGTCGCCGCCCCATCCTGTTCCACCGGCTGCGCCGCTGCGCCAGAAGCACCGTTCCTCCCCCCCAGAGCCCTCCGAGCAGCTTCCGTCTCCTTTCTGGCAGCCTCCAGCCCTTCTTTGGCGGTTCGACACTCGGCCTCCAGCTTTGCCACCGCTTCCTTGTGCTTCTTGCAGTCCTGGCCGAGCTTCTGAATCCGCATCTGCTTGGTGGACAGCTCGTTCTTGGCCCCGGTTAGCTCCCGCATCGCAGCTGCCAGCTCGTCCTTGGTCCTGCAAAGAGAAGCAGCGCTGACGTCCGTTAAAGGCTTGACAGCGCAAACGTCGAAAAAGCGGAGAAAGTGATCAGCGCTCCTCGAAGAACTTCTGAAGGACAGTCAGAAGATGGGGGAACCATCTGAAGAGCTTGGACTAGACCTTCCATCTTGTCAGATTCGCTTGGCCTCTTCGTAAGCAGAACAAGGACTCAAAAAATCGGTGTCTGAACATAGACCTCCACCCTCTCAAAGCGTCTGCATCTGTGGGCATCATCTGTGGCCATATTTTCAGGCACATTACGTCTGCCGTCGATCTTCTTCAACACAAAAGTTCCATTTTCCGTTATTGAAATGCATGATGCCTTTCTCAAGTACAGTAAGACTTCTCAAGTGCAGTCTAGACCCTTGCTTCATCTCGGCCCTTCCTACTCGGTCCCAGTATCATGAAAGGCAATAAAGGCAAGTGAGCCTTCACTCGTACACTCGCGATTCAGTATTCTGCAGCAGGCAAACAACATGGCACCTCCCATCTTTCATGTTATTGAATTTCTCAACGTTTGGAGCTAGCGAACAAAGTGACACTTCCGGCTTCCAAGTATCAGCCAAAAGGAAAGTACAAGTAAGTGAAAGGGTGGTCTAACCGCTGTGACGATTCTGCAGACGCCGCCTTCTCCTTCTCCAGGTCGCCGACTCTCCGCTTGAGCGCCTTCACCTGCTCATGATGCTTCTGACTCGCCTCCCTCAGCCGTTCCAGCTCCTCTTTCTCCCCAGCCATCTTCGACCGCAGCTCCTCTATACGCTCTCGTAACGAACCCTTTACGGCCTCCATCCTCTCCGACAAATCAGCGGACGCTGAGTCTGACTCGCCTGGAGCAGAGGCGGGTGCTGGGCCGAGCAGGGAGTGGACTTCGAGAACTTCCTTGACCAACTGAAGAGGAGCAAAGGTGTGAGTTAGAAGCAGGAGCATACCGGATGGTGTCAGCACTGGAATCGCGTCACGGCCTTCAAATCAGGAGGCAATGAGGATTTTGACATATGCCCAGGAGATTCGATGCATATCTGAGAAACGATCGGCTGAGGCCTCGAAGTGGTCCGACACCGCCAACGAGGACCGCCGCTTCTTCCAGATAAAATTTCTTGTAGTAACGCCCAAACAGCCAATGTCGTCATTCAAGCAAGGTGCTACTTGCACAGAGTGGTAATTTGCAAGAGCATGGTTGGCGCACACCAAACACCGTACGTCGTTTTCCCAACATCACAGTATTTGACAAGTCGCGTCAACTCTCAATCGACAAACAAAACGTGCGTGCCGCTGCCCATTCGTACCTTCTTGGCTTGAGATTCCTGCTCGGCCACCTCGTCGGTCAAGGCCTTGACCCTAGCCTCCGCCTGCTGCAACCGCTGCTCTGCCTCCTCCTTCTTCTTGGACACCTGTACGAAACAGACAGGGACTAAGGACAGGTGAGGAAAAGGGTCTGATCTTCGACTAGCATGTTTTAAACCTAAACGAAGTGAGAGGGCATGGTCTTCCAGTGACGTGTTATGAGAGCAATATTACTGTGGAGTGTGCAGGACGGGTTGATGAATCGCAGGAACACTAATGATGCAGCAGGTCGGCCTCGTATGGGTCAATTGGACACAGTCCCAAGAGAGACTTCAGCCCCTTCCGAAAATCGTACTGCTAAGTCATTGTAAAAATGTGACCCTCACCTCGTCAAACGCGGCCAGTTCTTTCGTCATGTACTCCACTTGGTGATTCAAGGAAGTGAGGAGCTCCTCTGCCGCTTTCTTCTCGTGCTCTGCAAGAAATCGTGTAAGTAAGGAAGCAAGAAGTTATGTATGTAGGTATGGAAGTGTCTTCTGGTTATGGTCAGTGTTATGGCAATCTGTGCAAGCAAGTCCGAGAGCAGGACCTCCATCGGCCTTCTCATTGACAGCGCTGTGCTTCGTGTACGACTCCTGCATTAGGTTTGAAAGCACAGACAGGGACCAGATGTATGACTGAGGGCAACAAGGAGAGGGGCTTGGAGATTTTCCAGCCGTTAGGATCCGAACACAAGAACCGGAAGCCGTTTTTGACTTGTAAGATCTCACCTAGGCTTAATAAGCATGATCAAATTCAGATTGCTCTCTTCGAGGAACTCAAAGACAGCGCATACTACAAAGGGCCTGCTCTATGGGTAGTATTGCACGCACCTGCGGAGAGGTCGTCAACATTGCGGCCCCCCTCCAGCAATCGTGTCAAGCGCTGAACTTCCTCTTCTCGTGCTTGCACCGTAGCCTGTAAAGCCAAGTTATGCATCAGGAGAAGTGATACCTGGGTCACTCTATCATGCAGATTACCCTGGGCTACAACGACAGGCAACACCTTTTAGTTCCAAAACAGTTTTACAGAATCGGCAAAGCGGTGGCTGGTGCAGGCTACTAGCAAGACGGCAGATTGCAGCAGGGATCGAAATGGATTGGCACAACGCTGATAAAGCTTTTAATGTGTCAAAGTCAAACCTGCGCTGTCGACAGCAACTCGCTGAGCTCTGCTTGCTGGGCCTGCAGGAAAGCGATCTGCTCGGCGCTGGTGGCCGCCCTCTCGTCTGACAGCCTGGCAAAAGTGCCAAAAGGGCAGGTTTTACAGCAGACTCTGTCTCACATGTATTATATTTTGACAGCCGAGTCCAACCACTTGTACACTTAAAGCAGTTTTAAGAGAGGTGACACCCAGACTTGAGAATGCCCCTTTCACTGCTAAGAGCGAGAATGGACACACTTGTCGTGTTTTCAACCAACGCCTATTGAACAGCATTCAGATGGTTTCAATGGCTTCTTCTAGTGTTGCACGCAGCAGTTGACCGGCACACTCGAGTTGCCAATAAATCAAGCAATTCTGTTTTGAGTTGCGAGCCATCTCATTTGTGAGTGAGGTATAGTGCTGCAGCCCCCTCTTCTTTGTTCGAATGCCGCCCTCCCGAGCCCCCCGTTCTTCCCTCTTGTGGCTTTTGTTGCCTTTGTTTTATTCATAATAATTGATCTGTAAATCCATCATTTGCAACTTCATGCCCAGCTCTTGAGGGACCACCGAAGTACTCATGATCAGTCACCAAGAAATTGCGACACAAACTCACCTGACCAAGTCAATTACTCCTGAGTCAGGCAACTTGGCCGCAGGTAATCTTGCCACTGCACCTTCGTCTGTCAGGGGGACTGCAGACAATGTATCACAGTTATGTAAGCACTCTTAACACTGTGGGGGCGATATCGTCATGGTAGACACGGGTCACAAATTACAGGGTTGAAATGTTGTGTAAGAACCTCAGCACATTGCCCATTGTTATAAATGCAACTGATTCAAACCAACAGCCAGCCGTCCAGATGACCAGCTTTGCGTTTGCTGAGACTCTGAGAGTGAGCTCACCTAGTGGATCAGAGATGGTGAAATCCATATCACCTGCATGAGACAGGTCCAGACTTCATAAAGTGTACACCAAGCACGTGATCGCCAAGCAGATAAAGACCTTTCAAGGCCAGCTTGGCTGACGAGGCTCCGTCCGAGACAAGGTGTGCCTACGCTAAACCATTCGGTATATGAAGTAACCAGTTAGTGTGCTTGCAGTACTGAAGCTGCTCAGGCTTTAAAACACATGTCCTGCAGGTCAGATGTGGCAAGGGAAGGGTGGTGTGAATTGGAGCGGGGGGCTCTGTACCTCCCAGCTGCTTCTGTAGCTGCAATCGTAACCCATCCTTCTCCTTTTCCAAGCTTTCAAATCTGCTCGCGGCCTGCGTTTTCCAGAACCGCAGCTCCGCCAGCTCATCTTCCGACTTCTTCTGTGCTAGCCAGCTGCTCCTCTCGTTTGCACGGCTCGCCTCTGCGTCCTTCATCCGGGCCAGGTGCAACTCGTTGTTCTCCTTCAGCAGCCTCCCATTCTCCTGCCGCAGAAGTTCTGCCTTTTTCCTCTCGCTCTCCAGCTCGTATGACTTTCGAGTTTCTTGCATCTTCAAAGAGCGGTATCTCTCAGTGGTATGCACGACATCGTCTAGGAGTCTCTTTGTCAAAGGAGCCGAGTATGCGTTCACACCCTCAACGCCTTCAATGTAATTCAACGCTTCAAGCTTCCGCTTTAGGGCAGCTATCTCTCCTGGTGCATCCTGCACCTTTGGCGCCCCCATCTTCTAGAAACGAAAAGATGGCTGTCAATTGGTCATCCTCTCAAATGAGCCCTCCCTGTGTCTCCAAATTACCAGCGCATGGCGCATCTGAAAAACTTGGTAAACAATAGAGCGGGCCCTGCAGCTTTCCTAGCGCATCAGGAATTTCTAAATCCTTTCAAAATCACTGAACAAATGACGCCATTCAAGCATTGCCCCTTTTTAGAAGGGTTCTCAGAATGCTAGATATCCAAGCTCTACAGAGCATTCCATCGTGATAGATGTGCTCGTTTGGCCCTGAGTTTGAATTTTGAAACATAGGCGTCCTACCCCGTCCGATGCTGTTCAAATTTCTGATCGAGTGGCTGAAAGTGCGTTGATTCCAGTTCACACCGCAGTCTGGTGACTGTGGGTAAAGTATTAAAGTGGGTATAGGTATATGTATCTGATACAGTATCATAATGCTGACTGTCTGGGCCCCTGTACACGGCATGCTCATGCAATTTCATCTATGATCTGGGACAGTTGTTGCAATATTCCCTTGCATGCAGGTATCGTGGCATGTAAGGGCGGCTGCTGGAAGCGGATAGAGCACTTTGCCCCTGTCCGGTGTAGCCCAAGATACCTAGGGCTTTGAGCAGCTGTGGCAGCTTGGAGCAGAACGATGCGGGCTGCAAGTCCTGCTGCGAACCTGAAGGTAGTTCTTTTGGGAGAAGGTGAGTAGAGCTACTTGATTCGATCTAAGCGCTGCACGTTGATTCTGAGTTTGGGCCGTAGTCATCGCCCTGTTGAGATGTACTTGCAGCCTTGCAACAAAAGCTCTTAGCTTTTGTTTCCAGTTTGAGAAGAGCCGCTCCCCCAGCTGTTCTGGATAGAGTCTGATACCCTTTTGAGCTTAATAGCTCCCTGCTGTTCCGGTGCTATCTCGTCCTTTTGTCGTGATGGTGGAGCTTCTTTTGTTGATCAGAGCCACTCTCTGCTTCAGGCCGCGTGGGGAAGACATCACTTCTCCTCCGCTTTGCCAAGGACGAATTTTCTGACACACAGCAAGCCACCATCCAGGCATCCTTCCTCTCAAAGAAGGTGTTGGTTGATGCAGAAACTTCTGTTGCCCTGTCCATCTGGGTGAGTTCTCACTTTGCATATGCTTAGAACATTTCCTTCTCTGTCAATGTAGTGCTGATCCTGAAGAAATAAAACCCCTAATTTGAAGGATTCAGCAGAAAGATCCTGGAGGGTGTCATGGAAGCCCAAAAAGTAAAATCGCCTTGGTTGATGCCTGCTGTGTGTGTCTGTCAAAGACAGAATTCAGAGTTGCCGCTTGCTTAGTACTTTGTTGCTAAGGTTTTGCCCAGCTTGGCATTCAAGCATTGAGTTTGATCATCATTGTGGATTTCTTCCCCAAGTCTCCCATAATTCACATCAGCTTTCCTGCGGGGCCTCCTCAAAAAGCAATGTGTGCCGTCTTCCCATGTGAGCCATGCTCGACTGGGTTATTGGCAGTTGAGCTTTCATCATTGGACCGGCGAAGTTGAACATACTCTGGTTGGTGGGCTACAGGATACGGCGGGACAGGAAAGGTTCCACTCGTTAGGCCCAATCTATTATCGGGATGCCGATGGTGAGTCCATGTCCTTTTTGTGTCTATGTCTTGTTGTGGACGTTGAACTGAACTTCAAATTTGAGTCAGGCTCATAAATGGCGTTTCTTGCGTGAGTCGACCTTCGATGATGACTTCAATGAGTTGAATTGTCACAGGACTCGATGTTTTGTTCGGGCAAAGATTTCTGCAAATACAGTAGTCTCTAGTAAGAAAGCTTTTGTTCCTATTTGTCTTACTTTGATCAGTGACTTTGCAATGCTTGCCCCTTCAGAGGAAATAGGCAATCGCGGAAAGCAGATCCTTGCAACTAAAAAAGGCGGAAGTATGCACAAGATTGGGGAAGGAAGGCAGGTTCATTCCACATGAGAATAGTAATCAGACTGTTTTCAAAGTCATAGGTTGGTCATACAGAGCATCTTATATATTTCGTGCCTCTTCTGTTGGGGTTGAACGCGGCTTCCTTCGCGGTTTGATATCCACGATAAAGTTAGTAAGCAATGATTGCATTGCTTCCCTTGCGTCTTCTCTGGGGGGCAACACAGTAGCCTGGGGAATCTTTGAAGACCGACGGAGGCAGAGTCCGGTTGCTCACCACTTTCTCCTTCTCTCCCTCGGAGCGAAGCACGCACTAAGCATGGGGGAGTATGTAGCTCCTCGTTTTTTGACCTCCACTGAAACTTGGAGACGTTTCTTCTGCAGCCGCTCTCCTCGTCTATGATGTCACCGACAAGGACAGTTTTGACCGGGTTAAGAGCTGGGTTAAGGAGCTCAAGAAAATGGCGGGCCGGAACATTGTGCTGGCGATTGCTGGGAACAAGATCGACCTGGACCGGCAAGAAGAACTGGACTTGACCGAACAGACAGAGTGAGCGTGCCATACTCAAGCAAGTAATTGCTGCTCTTCGCACATCATTGTAAATCAACGAAACATCATCGCAAACCTCCCTGTCCGTGGCTGCAAATTTCTCAGGGGGAGGATAAGGAACCTTTTTCATTTTCTGCTGAAGATATGTAACTTAGGAATTGTCAAGGACTCCAAACAAGGCAGACCAAGACAACCAGTTCAGAACTGCAAACCTTCTAAAGTGGCAGGAATCGGATTGACGAACCGCTTGACATGGAGGTAAATTGAGTACAGGGGTCCACTACTAATGACAGCCCCCCCTTGCTTTTCTGTCTGGGTCATTCTACTATGGAGAGCCGCACAGCCCCTTGTCAATGTTGTCTTCTGAGCGGATTTGTTTTGCAACTTATGCTCCCTGTATCGTCGAATCTGGACCAGCACAACCTCTTTTGACGGAAGTACAATATTTTTGCGCAAGCCTGTTGTTCGATTGGGTCCGAATTGCTGCTGAGCGGCAATAGATAGACTGTCATGACTGAGGGTCTGACGGTGTCCGCCTCACAAGCGCACCCGTTTGGGTCTGACGCCCGTCTGTAAGCCCCGACTCCTGAGCCCATCCATAGGGACCCAACTTTTCCCCCTGACTTTCGCTTTATGGCGTTGAACTCCGTCAAGCCGTGAAGCGCTCATAACGACCGCGTGTATGGGCGCTTTTGGCGCCTTAAGTACGTCCGTATTATTGTCCCTCAAACCGCCCTGATTGTGTGCATTTTGCGGAGCCAGTCTGTGGGTGCACCAATGCCTTATCACGTTCACTCGTGATTCCACTTCGAGCAGATAACCGTCTTGTGTGTGCGTGTAAATAATTGCTGTAGTATTCTTGTTGCTAACCTCCGCTGCACAGAGTGATGTTGCCCCCGATAACATACCTCAGTGCTCTCTAAAGCGGCAAGCGGCGAGCGGCTTTTGTTAGAGAGAAAGCGGTGCTCAGCCGACTGCGTGCGTCGCTATATGAGCTTAGATTTGTTCTGCGGAAGGCTGAAGCGCGCGCTCTCTCGGGTTCTTGGAAATGCTTTTTCTAAGATCAAGTGTTTCAGGTTCCATTACGGCAGAGTTGTCTGCCCTTTCTATTAATTAAGGGCTGGTTATGATAAGGGCCTGGGCTCAGAAGCCCACGGCCGCGGTCTTCACACTAAGGCCAGACGATAAGCGCGCCTTGATGGCGAGTGTGTTCCGCTTTTGATCCGTTTGCTCCGCCAGACTCCATATGGCCTCTCCTTGTTTAACCCAATTCCTTGCTGCGATGCTTTTTCGACAACGCTTTTCTTCGACATACCGTATCTTAAATTGAGCATTGTCGATGACATGAATGCATGTCTTCGCAACTTGGAATGCTCATGCAACAGAATGCTTGCCTTGAGGTCGCTTCTCTTCCCATATGGAGAAGGCCTTGGTTTATTGTCGCCGCCTAAGGACGATCATGCTTTTGACCTTCTTGTGGCCTGCTTATGTCAATTCGGAATGAACGTGTCTGGCAGATGCAAAGTTGACATGACTTGCATGCAGCATGTCATCATGTTTGCACTGGTTGTTTTCCACGTAGCCCCTTATACTCTGTTCCGAACGAACTTGACTTTAGGGCGCGGCTGGCAATGAAAGCTTGAAGTCTGCGTAAAGCAAACCTCCGACATTGACAGCAAGATTTTCGACGCCAACCTTAGGTGCTGAGACTCATCACCAACATAAGCTCACCCATTCTGCCTCGGGGTTTGGATCTTAGGGCAATGTCTGCCCACTTATTTCGGGGGAATCATTACACGACTGTTGTTGGCATTCCACAGACAAATGCCGAGCTACAAATATGGCCGCGATGTGGTAAAGAAGATTGAATACGAGTCTATCTCATGTGTTGCCACACTGGCGTGACACTGTGAGTGTGTTTTTATTCTTTCCCAAAGAGTGGTAGGAAATGTTGCATATGTCAGTTGGACCCTTCTGATGGCTGGCTGGTATCGGAGTTCCAGATTGCCTTGAGACTGTGGCAACATCGGCTGTGAATCCTTGTGAGGCAGTATATACGATCCAGCTGACTTCGAGATTGATGTGCGTTCGCTTGAAACCGTACTCTCTCATTTAAAATCCTTTACCGGCGACGACTGAACCTGGCAGATTTGCTGCAACCACCTGCTTACGGATGCTGTCGCGCTGGTTTAAGAGACACGCTTTGCCGTGCCATTGAGGCCCCTAAATATCAACCTGTTAATGCGGGTACGTCACAAATCTGAGAACCACGTGTTTACTCTTTCTACTTTCTTTTCGGAGTGGAAGATTGGATGGCAGGGACGAGTTATGGCAGCGGTGGGGGCTCGACTTGAGCACCACACTTGCGCTTGACAGATTCTAATCCTGACGCCAGTTGTACGATTGCACAAGGCGAGGGGAAAAACCACCACCGGCAACGGGGCTTCGGTCTGGAGCATCCGCTGGTGATTAAGCCTAACCATATTGACGGTTCTGAATATTTGCCTTCTCTCCGTTATGAGCAGCTGATGCAACTTGTTCATCGACTTCCAGCGTTTGTCGAAACGGAGAAGGCAGTAGTGGACGTCTCAGTGGGCATCTCTTCCAAGAAGCCTGAAACAGCATCGCAACTTCACCTCCAAAGCGAATGTAAAACTTGATATTCCCCTCATGAGTCTGGCTACGACAAAGTGTGCGTTCGCCTGCTCCTTCACTTGCCTGCCCAGGATAAGGTTTATGCCTTCAGAGGTTACGCTAACAAGAATAGCACCGCACCTTGATTGTTACTCTGAGCGAAGTTGTTATGCTTCCGGGGTCGTCGGGTCGGGACCGTGACCACTTTCTTGACGAGATACAAGACTGTTTGCACGAGCCTGCTGTCCTTTTGTGTCCCTAAATTCGAGCGGCACAGGACGGCAGTGAAGACTGCGATTACTGAGGGGTGATACTCTACTCCTCAGGCATATTGTCAATTCGGTTTGACGCCCATTCCAGAGCACACGCAGAATGCCCCGACTGCCGAGGCTATGCCCTGGAACCCAACTCGATTCGTGGTTTCCACGTTATGCTTTTCAACGAAGTCAATCCGTGAGGCCTACACGAAGTGTACAGGTCTTCTTTCCACCGTGCCTGATATGTTGAGCGAACGTCTGGCGCCCTAAGTGCGTCGTTCCGTTGCCCCTGAAAGCAACCCCTCGTAACTCTTACAGGACTACTTTGAAAACATCACTCGCGCAACGAGTTCTGGCGGTCCTCTGCCTTAAGCGCGCGCAGGTGTCAGCTGTATGCTTGCTGACGTCTGATGCATAAAGTCGTTACTGACAATCATTGGCACTAAAGGTATTGGAGTGAAGCGAGCGGCTTGTCTCAAAGTACTGGTGCGCTCAGTCGATCACCCGGGTTGCTCCCTTCAGTGTTCTGCAGAGGGCTGCGCGCTATTTTCGTCGGTTTGTTGCAGCCGCTTGTTTTTTCGATTGGCTTCGAAGAAAATTTACGGACAGGAGTTGGGTCTTTCAGCTTTCGTCATGCACTGAACGGTAGAGCGTTCTTTCCGTTCCTTCTGCGTTTGTTTCCTTGAGCAGCTTTAATGGTTCAAGGGCCTGGGCTTGTGAGCCCAAAGCTCCATTGGCTGCATTGAGACCAATGACGAGCAAAGTCTACACCCACTTTTGTTCCGCTTTTGATCCAGTCGCAAGAGCCTTACATTGGCGGCTAGCAGCGTAGGAGATTTGTTCCAGTTTTCAGTGCACACAAAGTTTTCAGTCTCGATGGTTGCTGTATTGTTTCAGGCAGATGTGTTGTGAACTTCGTAGTTTGAAATATTTATCCGATCCGGCCTCTGGCCTTTAAGTCTGAACATTGCCTTGGTCGTCCTGACGGGATCTTAAAATTGGTCTTTGTCCTCATTGGTACGTCGGTTGCAGCGGCAACGAAGAGGAGAGCTGCCTGACTGACAGCGAAGGGTGGTCCCTGTTCAAGTGTCAGAGTGAAAATTCTCATCTTTGTGTTCTGTCGTCCCCCTCGGTTGTTTGCATTCTGTGCGTCGCTCATATACGGAAGGCTTCGTAATGTAAGAATCAGGCAGATCGTACCATATTTTTTCAAGGCCGACCGGGCAACACATTTAAGGCATCTGATCGCAACTCTCCCACCATCCTTCAGTGCTTCCTCTTTTGCCTTTAGAATTGTAGATCAGAACCCGATGAAACGTCTTTCTTCGATCGTCAGTTGGCACAGTGATGAAGGCCCCTGCTCCTAACAGCATGACGCCACGTCCTCGCCTTGATGCCACCCTTCACCCAAACAAGCCCGATTGTAGCCTAGCTCCGTAATCTGCCGCTTGCCGCCACAATACTGATTCAGGCCCCGACCTGCCTGTCAACGCACAGCATTTGATGATTCGAGAATTCCAGAGGGTTTGCAATGGGAGTTGAATTGTAGCCTTGCAGGGACAAAGGCAGTATCGAACTGTAGGCTTGCCTTTGTCCCTGCCGTTTTCAACCCTGTAACAAGGCACTGGAAGCTCGAGGGCAAAACGAAACTGGTAGCAGAAGAGCGCGTCTCCAGACCAGGGAGTGACACGCCCTCCAATTGGCTTATTCGAGAATCCGCCCATTTGCTTCCATGTAACAATGGTAGGGACGATTTCACTACAGAAAAGCCAACATACATACCAGCATAAGCTCCCGTTGGTATATATTTAACGATGTTGTTCGCTTTCTGTCTTGCTGTGGCAGCTCTCCTTCCCGCATGGCTGTTTTCACAGGTTTTGTAGATTTTGGGAATGCAAGCAGACGGTCCATTTGATCAAACCTGAGTACTGCAGAACTATTGCGCGGCCCTTCGGGAACTTTTGATCCGTCCACATACGATGAATGAGGACGGGACCGTTGACGAACGGGCGCCTCTGTTGCCTTGTTTGTTGGCAGTCCGCTTGTGCTGCAAGGCATTTTAGTTCTCATCGCCATGCTTTACCTGCAGGTACGCTGAATCAATTGGAGCTTCTCACTTCACGACATCGGCAAAGCTCAATAAAGGCATCGACGCGGTCTTCCAAGATCTTGCAAAGCGTGAGTCAGGCGTCCTCCTCCATCGAAGTTGAGACCTTATGCTTTGAGACATTGAAGTCGTCTCCCTTATTTTGAGGCTGTGAGAACCCATGCTAGTTCTGATTATGAAAGATAGTGTTCTGAATCTGAGCATCGTGTGCCAACTTGGGATCCTTTCAGCAAGTACACATTTCAGATGAGCCGCATCTGCAAGCCAAATCCGATAACCATTGAAGGTTAGAACGCCGAGTAGGATCGAGGTTGGTCCGACTCTGACTGTCAACGATGTGCAAGTTTGTCCCTGTGACACGTGGACCAAAAGATCTGACGGGTTGTTCAGGTGCACTCGTCAGCAAACGACGAGCAGCCGCCGCTGCAGAAGCCGTCGAGTCCACTCTCGTACCTCGACGACAAGGGACTCTCATCATTGATGAACGGCCGAAAGCCCCTCCAAAGCGATCGTGCTGTAGTTGATCCGTTATATAGTGTTGCGCGCTAGATAGTCTTCAGTTGTTCACTTCAAAAGTTCGAATCGCGGGCGTTTATGAAGTTCGCTTGCATCCAATAGCCTCAGTCCGGTCTGTCTGAGGACAGGACTGTCAAATCAAAAATAACTGTAGTGTTACAAGCCATACAGCAGCCATTTCAATGGTTTCGACAATGAGCAAGCACCTCTTGGAAGATGCAAGAGGGAAGCCGAGTACAGTAAGTCGCTCTCAGAGAGCAAACAGCTGCGGTCTGTGAAGTTGATGCCAGGCCGGCAGTCCTCGAATCTGAACACTTGTTCATGGGGCCCGCGATTGGGATTGGACAGGTCCAGCGGGCCTGTCGATCAGGCGGGCGCGCAGCCACGCGTGCAGTCAGTCCCTGTCATGCCGCCGGCCCGGCGTCATGCTTGATCGCTTTCAGCGCATGACTGCCGCCTTCAAGCTCATGCCCGGTCATAAGCCCGCCGTCTATACGAGCTATGAAGCTTGTTTGATGTATTGCTAGCTACCGTATGTGCATCGAACACCCACTGATGCTTAATACGGCGGCCCCAGCGGGGCTCGCCGGCCTTACTATCCCCCTTTCCACACGACCATGCTCGATGAGGCTCATGAGGCGGTCCCACTGGCACATGTTAATGCATGTATTGATTAATGGCGGCCGGCCGGACAGGCGCAGCGCGCGGCCCACGTGGCAGCGGCCGGGCCATGTCATGTGAAGCTTTATACTTGGTATGATAGCTGGTCAGGCCGGGCCCTACCGTCTGGTGCTCACTAACGCTATACACAAGCTACCTATGGTGGGTGTCGGCGGTCTCAATCGCGCGACGGTACCGTCACCAAATTGACTCACCGGTGTTACGCGTCGCGACATTTCATGTACACGGTACTGACGACCGTACTCGGCCGTACTTTAGAATCCGGTCCGAGTTCATGAATTGGAAATTGTCTGACATGTCGACGAACGGTAAACTCCGGTATATTCGGCGGTACAGTACCGCGCAAGTCTGCGCGTCCGCAAATTTGAAATTTCATGGTGTTTGTCGGAAGTTCCGACTCGAACCACCTGAGGGTACCGCGGTACTTAACTTGAAAGAGGAGTGCAGGAAGTTGAAAGAAGAGTGTAGGAAAAGGCGCATTTCAAGAGCAAGCAATGCCGGCCGACTTTGAGGCTTGTATGGTGCTTATTCCGATTTGTCCTCGACATTTCCTTATGTTGGGTCTTCAAACAAACCCTCAAGGTGCTCTCCCAACATTTTTCTTTGCTTGTCAGAGCTTTCTATGGGCTGCATAAGGCTCTTCTTTGTGTGCCAGTTTGATGCTCACACACAAGTGTAAAACATAACACTGTCTTTCACTCCTGTAACACTGACTTACGGCCGAGCAATATTGTCTGAGTACTTGTACCGCCCGAGTAACAGAAACCTGAGTTGCCGTGACGTGAACCGCCGGTATCACTGACGGAATTCGATACGCGGTATTACAATTTTGTGGCGGTCGGAGTCAAAATTGACTCGGCCGGTACCCACCATAGGTAGCTTGTGTAGCGTGCTTTCGTCTACAGTAGTTTCGATGACTAATATATCTTGCTTTACGCATGATGTTGAGTGATTTGTTGGCCCAGCTGGCCAATTGGCCTGTGTCGTCCTTATTTGCATTGGCTACGTACCAAGTGCTAAATGCACTAGCTCGGAGCATGCGGGAATCGTTCATAGACGCTGGCGATCGGATCCAACTGGCGAGGTCCGATTGGAGTCTAGCATTGCACCTTTATGCGGCATTGAGACGGGATCCCCTGTACAGTCTAGATTAAAGACCGGGTCGGCCTCGGAACATGGAATAGGATTAGTGAAAATCTGGCGCTGGCTAGGAACTCGGGTTTAACCTCTCGTTCTATTTGTGCGTTGCTTCATGATGTACTTCGTTGTTTCTTCTCTCAACGAGATTATGCAGTGCTCGACCTGACCAGAGTCGGTCTTATGTTGTGCCCGCTGATCGGGGGTGAGCCTTGTTCAAGAGTGCAACCCTTATTGGCAACATTCCGACATTCTTTCCAGACCGATTCTCGACTCAGCACGCTATGGTGACGAGTTTATGGCAGCCCCCTACTTGACGAAGAATGAACCGACTTTGCTTTTCTCAGATTCCCAAGCAGAGCGCAGGTAGGTTGTCAACCCAGAAGTCGTCCAGCCTTCTGTCGCCGCCACCTGCACAGCGTATTTCCAGTTTCCAGGTTATTCCACTTCCAATTATGTCCGTGAAGTAGGGACGAAACGGATGGAGGCATCGACTTTGCCTGCAAGCGAATCTGTACACGTTCTCGTCATTCGAGTGGAGCTCATGTGCACCTGAAGTGACAAAATCAGTTGGCAAAGCCCGCAAATTCTAAAGCTGACTGATCCGTGCGTTTTTGGAGAATTCTGTTCCTTGATTTTTCTCTCTGTGCCGCACGTCATCACTTTTATCTCCGGATCTCACCAGCAAGCACCGATTCCGGAACGCTTCTGTTTCTCTTCCTGCTCGTCCGAATCCTGGGACGCCTCTTCCTCGTTGTCCGAGTCCGGATCCTCCAGCTCCAAGATCTTTTGGACGCCCGGGGCCGACAAAACCTGGGGGTCTTCGGGCGTCTTGTCGAGCCGCGCCTCCAAAGCCAAAAGCCCAAATTGCATCAGGTGCGGAGTGTCCTGCAGAGTGAAAGGGGCAAGCGTCATGGAAGCGGCAGCCTTTGTGGTGTGCAGTCCAGCAAATAAGAAGTATACAATCAACCACTCCATTTTGTTGCTAGAATGTGGATATAAGTTTTCTGAGCTTCTGATGATGTCACTTCGGGGTAAATGTACGCCGCCTATCCTGACCTGCATGCTGTATCCGTTGAACAAGCCTCGAGTGGGGCGCGCGTGTTACAGAATAGTTAGAACGACATTATAGCCGGACAAAGCCGTGTCTGTAACTCACCTTGGTGTAGTCCGGATCATTCTCGACGATCTCCTTTATCACAGACAGGTAGCGCCGAGGGTCGTCCTGCTCCTTCTTCGGGTAAGTGTTTCTGCAAAGGTGTACTCTCATTCCTCACATAATCACGTGTAAATTTAAGGTTGTGACGTTGGAAGAGTTGCAAAAACCTTTGATCTCGTGATGCATACTATTAACGCATACTATGCTACAAACCTCATTGCTTGCCAGGAAGCGATCGCGTGCGGAGACAACATTGGGAAAAGTCACTAAAGCTCCCGTCTGGGAATTACTATATGACGGGATCACTCAACGGAAGCAGCTTCTACAAGATGCTTCTCCATTTAGATCTATTATCCATGATTGGCAGTAAGGAGAACGATGGAGGAGCACATGATGAGGTCAGATAAGATTCAAGCTTCCCGCCACATACATGTTGCACACTGATATTCGGAAGAGTTAACACCAAAGTAGGACATATTTGAGGGCCGCCAGCACATGCTAGAGGACAAATCCAGAATCCTTGCGTTACCTGGAGCCATGTAGGCATGATGCAGCGAACTCGCCCAAAAAGGACCTGCGGGCATTCTCGTCGCGGCCGATCAAACCTTCATATTCAGCGAGCATCTTGCACGCGCCGGGATTGTCCTTGACGATCTGCAATGATCATCCAGTCCAGATAAATCAGAACATAGAGAACGGACCGCTCATTCAAGGATACTGTACAATCTGAGTCGAATGCTTGACTCATTGTTTGCACAGGTGCAACCAGGCTCACAGCCTAAAACGCTGGTCAGGGAAGGTTGCGACGGAGCCATGAAATCATTCGTGTCCAGATTTGTAGTACGTGTCAGGCCTTGAAGGAACCCGTGTCCCGAACATAAACTGCCAAATCTTGCTTTTTCAGAGGGGAATTATCTGTTGCATGTATTGAAGTCTTATATAGGTTGCCTTTGACTGAGAACCATGCCTTCTGTAATAGAAGAAGACGTCAATAAAAAGCGAGTGATAAGCAGAAATAGAAACAGCTTACAAATTGTAGCTTTTCGAGGCCGTTCCGTAGTATGTCACCGAAAACAGCCTCCAGTCGTGCTGTTGCTTCGGCCTGAAGGTCGTGCTTCTCGGTCTCAACTTTGTGCAATTCGGGTTGAAAACCTGCAGCCAGGGAACAAAAGAACGCGTGACGTTCGTTTGACTCCATTAAATAAGGAAGAGGCAGCGAAGAAACTTACCAGCATCTTCAAAGGTTCATGAAAATTTTCTGGCCATGGATGACCCTTCATTGGAACCCGCTTATGTTACCCCTAACTCAAGGTCGCTTCAGTTTCAGAAAATGAGGGTGGCCCGGACCAGAAACAGAAAGTCGTTTCCTTGATCGTCGGCCCGAGTCTTGCGCCTGGCTTTGGGCACCATAACGCTTCCTCAAGCAGTGTTACAACTTGAACGGGTTAATTAGATTTTATGCCCATGTTTGAAATCAATGTCATGGCGTCCCATGTTTGCGATGATGGCGGCTTGCTATAGTTGCTTCCCTACTCTTCCAAGACTCTTGTTCTCCAAAGTCAACCCTGTCTAAGCTCTGTCCACCGGAGGCGAAGGAACAGTACTTGACGAGCCCGAGATGCCGTCTTTTACAGGCCTATCGGCATCTATACGATATCATCGTAACGTCGAGTTGAAAGATAGATTTTCGGCCACCTTTTAACCATAACACACTGTGCAAGCAGACTTTACCTTTCTGGGCTTTTGGGTGGATCTCGTATTGGTCTGGGGCTGAGAAGAATTGGCAAGCAGTTCTTGACACTCCCGGGAACCAAGTGGCTCTGAGCATGATGCGGTTCGGCGGTAGATCAGAAACCCGAGCTCCGCTCTTGTACCGAGAGTCCCAGCGAACAAGTCGCCTGTAAACGACGGTACGTACGTTGTTCAGAAGAGTCTGATGACTCTTGTTACTTAGAGGGTCACCTTTTTAACCTTTTGCTATTGGTTCTTCTGTCACCCCTTTCATTGCGGAAAGGGGTGTTGCAATAACATGCCCAGTTAGCACATTTTCTCAGTTTGCTCAGAGTGGGTTCGTCGGGCACGTTAGCTTATGACCACAGGGCCCCTCATTTTCTGGGGATACTCAAGCAAGTAGGTCCTGACCAAAACACGCGGTGACCATACAACAGAACCTTGAATACGATTTGTAGCAGCTTTTGTGAAAGGTCGTGAGGCCCCATCTCCATGAAAATGATGGATCGGAGCCTCAGGGTTTTGTCCGGACGTTACTCTAAGAAGTGCAAGCCCTTCGAAGTCCTACTCCAGTTGGTCCTGTAGTAGTCTTGGCTTATGTCGTCGAAGATTTCTGTCACGGTCCGCTCGACCAATTCTCGAATTGGCTCTCCAACAGTGTGCAGGATCTTGAACAAAACAACATCATAGCCTGCCTCGTCTACACAAGGGCTTAACATAAGCTTATTGTTTCTATTTAGGCTTGAAGTTCATGCATGAAAAAGCTATTAGCTTACGTTGGCTTCAGCTTACGTAGTAAAAATATTTTGAACAAGTTCAAGTCTCGAGCAAAGGCCTGACATTCGCACTTCCAAATCTGAGTTTCAAACGAGATTTTTTCCAACATGAGCTGACTGCCGGCGCCTGATCTCCAGACACGTTCTTACCCGGCGAATGAGCTCTTGCAGGACCGAGACGCTGTATAAGGGGGTGGAAGTGGCCGCAGATCCACCATCGTTGAGGGTGTCGACCACAGTGCTTGTGACGATGTTCAAGAGGGTGTTCTCAGGATGGCCATCCTTTTCGCCAGTCGTGCTAGTGTCTGTAAAGGGGACGCCGCCAGCTTCTGTCTCCATCTTATTGAAGCTTCTTGAAGCAAAGCACAGCGCTAGATTAGCACACACATGGCGGGCCAGCGCGCCGCCTGTCAAGTCGCGGCCGCGCGCCTTCTGAACGAGGGTTTAGCGTGGTTTCGGTGTCAAAACTTTGAATGTTCCGGAGAAGTCCGTCGAAGGCGGCGGATCAATCCGCTTTTGTGAACGGAGTCCGCTGCTACTGCTGAGGTGCTCAATGGGTCTAAAATTGCTGTCTTGCACCATCGTTGTTGCAGTAGTGAGCTCTTGGAGCAGCGGAATTCGACTCCGCACGTACGTTGCAACCCAGCCTACGTGCTCCTCAGCCAAAGGTTGCCTAGCTCAGAGCACGGGTTGTTGACCACCGCAGCTTCAATTATTGCGCCTTTGAACACTTTTGTCATGAAGGGGTTCAGGATAACATATGGAATGCCTTATTGCACTCATATATCTTTGACCACGAAGCGGCCGGGCAAAAGGTACCGGTTAGCGACGAGCTGGCGCTGGCGAGTCGTATCTTGGTTCAATCGCCGCATGATGCTAAGCGATGCTTCATAAAACATTGAGTGCGCCAATGTCGAATCATCCCAAAAACAACGATGCAGTGCTCGCCGTTCATCGAGGCAACATGACTCATGGAGTGCGTCTCGTCTTGTACAGGCTGATCGAGAGCGAGCTTATCGTACTTTCAGAGGTGGAGCCATATTTGAAAACAGTCTGAATCTTTTTTCAAAATTGATCTTAGAGAGCTACGCTGAAAAATGACTGCAGCCTCCTAAACTTTGACGAAGATGCATCAATTACTTCTTTTTGATTTCTGAAAGACTAGGAATTTCAAGAAAGGATGGTGGGGTCCTTAATCCAGAAGTTGTCCAGCCTTCCGTCGCCACCTGTTGGCACGACGAGAGACCACGTTTTCAGATTCCAGATGTTCGTCATTAAAGTAGATGGATGTAGGCATCAGATTCTCCTGAGGGCAAGAATTTTCAAATGTCCCTCTCTGGTCATGATCTTCGATTGGGAGGCGTTCTTGATCATGGAGCTGAAGGACTAGATTTAGGTCACTGTGAGAAAGCCTTTTGTCCGAACGCTGTCCGGGCCTTGTTCGCAACTCATATCCCATGTCCGGAGTTTGTCTGCAGTCACGAGACAGAAATCGGGCACAAGTGGACGCTCCGGACGTTGTCCGGAACCTGTCCGGAAGGTTTTCCAAGCTGCCGTAGCGATTGCCAGATCAACCTAAACCTCTCGGAAACGCCATGAAGAGAACCGAAGCCTTCTGGCAGCGCCTGGCGCGCCGAGCGCTACCTAGCTGCCAAGCGCGCGTCTAACACGTTCCGTTCTGTAGCAAACATACAAGGAGGGGTCGGCGCGGCCAGTCGCGGGCGCGTTGAAGGATTGTCTTCTGCATGCGCCACGCGCGGTGCGGCGGCGTCGATCCGGAAGGCTGCAAATTTGACGAGGGAGCGTACGATTTTGTAATCACCTCTTCTCCCCATCTTCCCTAACAAACAAAAGAAAACTCTCTTGCGGCCTCATCAGCAAGCACGGAGTCTCACCACCAAGCACGTGCACGTGCACGCAGTCCAGAACGCTTGAGTCCCTTCTCCTCCTCCCCCTCGGAGTCCGAATCCTCCAGCTTCAAGACCTTCCGCCGGACGCCCGAAGTTGACGGAACTGGCCACACTTCGGGCATATCATTGAGCCGCGCCTCCATAACAAAAATCCCAAACTGCATCAGGTGCGGAGTCTCCTGCAAAGCAGGGAGGACCAGGTTAGGAGATAGCGTTCTTCGGGTTGGCGACGCACGCGCAGAGTACAGGACATCTCCGAAAGAACAGTACCTCCCCTTGCTTCTGCCGGTGATGTCCAGACTTTCTCTTCCGGCTTTTGGAGAAGATCAGTATGGCAGGTTACAATTTAGAGCTCGGGGTCATTGGTATGGAAGCGGAGCGGATACTATCGGCACCTTGAACGCCATTCACAGGAATGGCCTTGTCACGAAACATCAGGGATGCTCTTGTACGAACAAAAGATCCTGACTTAAAGCGTAGGATACAAGCCAGAGGTCCCCGTGCAGGTTGATCACACCGCAAAGGGCGCGCTGAACTCGAAAAAAGCTGCGAAGGCCATTCAGATCCTAAGAAATGTAAATCTACCTTACTGCCTAATTACACCTCTGAGTGTATACGATCCTGTTCTGCAGTACTCTAGATCTCCGCGCGGGTCACAACGACCTGGAAAGTTGTAAAGAGCTGCTCAAGTGGGTCAAAGCCATGTGTGCGACCTACCTCTGTGTAGAATGGATCTTTCTCGACGATCTCCTTTATCAGAGACAGGAAACGACGAGCCTTTTCCTTCGGACGGAACTCTCCATATCTGCAGTTGAATTCTTTTGTTGATCAGTGATCGAAGAATCATGTGCACATGTGGGATTGGAACCTGCTTCGAAGTTCTGTTCTGGTGGGCGAAAAGCAAAAGTCGGCGGGAAGTAATCGAAGTCTGTCTGGTTGAAGTCACCGTTAGTCGACGCAGAGTCAGCGGACGCAATTAGAAACCCTGTTGCTCGCTTTAAGTTTCTCTGACAACGAAGCGACTGCGGGCAGGTGATTTGTGGAACTCTAGGCGGGAATTTTAGGCACACGGTCTTGTCAGTACCGAAATTGTATTCAGAACATTGCCATCAATATCTGCCAACGTAAGATCTCAATGCTGCGAAATAGATTGAAAGTAAACCCCTGCTAATATTATCACCTGGGGCCGGACGTGCTTGCAGTGAGCTCTTTCAGAAAGGATCTGCGGGCCACCTCATCGCGCATGATCAAGTACTCGTAATCACGCGTCGAGATTGTCCTTGCAGATCTGAAACAGGCAACTATTCAGAAGTCTTTAGCAAGGAATGTTGAGGAGCAGACCATTATATGATTTTTACTGAGTTTTGTCTTGCTCTTAAAGATTCGATGAGGAGGCTCTAGTCTTATTCCAAAGGACCTGATCAAATGATTAAAGTTGCAGAGGAGCTAGATCACCCCTAAAATGAAACTCATGTTTCAATTATGAACACCGCCATCAAGATTCTGATGTTCTTGTTCTCAGATCAGGAAGGATTGCTTTCTGGATGTTTTGAAAAGTTTGCTTTTGGATGAAGAGCCTTTCTTCTATGAGAGAAAACAATGTATTGCGAAGCGTGCCGTAATAGATTTCTCACAGACTGCAACTTTTGGAAGCCGTTCCGTAAGATGTCATTGAGAACTCTATTCAGTTGTGCTACTGCCTGAGGGTACGGGTCGCGCTTCTCTTTTTCCTCCTCCTGCGGATTTCGTCCAAGACCTGCAGTCAGGGTGCAAAGATAAGGTGGTTCACTCCGTTTGCTGTCGGTCGGGCCGAGAGCAGTTCCAAAGCAAAGGCCAGGAACGCAGCTTCCAGAGCTTCACTTGAACGTCCCTTGGTTGGACCCATTCCTAAACAAGCCTCTCGAAGTCGCGTCCGCTTCAAGGTCTGAGTCAACCAGGTTGGTCCACATGAATATTTCTGAATCTATTACAACCTGGAACAGGCGCCGCGCCTGGCACTGACGCGGTGTTATCGCTCAGAAAGTTGCCATTGTGGATATCTTAATTCGTGCTTGCAACCTTCAGGTTATATGGCGCCCCCATACTATTGGCGATTGGCGCGGCTAGCTACGGGGTCTGACAGCTTTCTCCTTTAGCTCTTTAGAAAGGGACTCTGCGCTTTGGAAGCAGATAAGATGATGAGACCAGAAGGCCCCTGCCTGCATTCTGACTCAGCTGAAACGAAGGGCGCAATTGGTAGCGTGAGCATGGCCACAAGGTAAAATGCAGAAAATTACTTACACGCAATCTTTCCGTTCTTGGCCCCGGGAAGGAAGTCGTATTGGTCAGGGCTTGAGAGAAAGTGGCAAGCTGCTTTCGCGTGTTCCGAGAACCAGGAGGAGTAGACTGCGGTGCGGTCCGGCGGTGCATCAGACAAACGAAATCCACGCTTGTCGAGCTCGTCATCCGGATCCGGAAGGCAGATAAGTCGTCTGCAGACCATGGTGCATACGATATTCACTGCTTTTTTCAAGCCTCCTTCCCAGACTGGTTCCAACTTACCATGTTAAACTACCAACGAATTAGCATTGGCGCACACCCTGAGCACCACTTATGCCAAGAGAGTAAAGACGGAACAGTCTGCAGCCGTGACATGACCAGGCCCAAATTCTGGGGTGGTGATCCTGGCTTCGCTTATCGTTTTGATAAGTTGGACCCAGATTAAGTCTTTTCAACGTGCGCAAAAAGCGGCAATCCATTGATGAACGAAGTTATTGAACTCGTTCGGAATTGTACGCTGTGCGGCAAAAGGGAGCGAGAGGAGATTCAAAGGATGCGAAGCGAATCCCACGACGCACTCAAGATTCAAAAATTGGAGAGCCGCATACTATGATACTATGATATCGATTGAGCTTACTCCAAGAGATGCAAACCCTTTGAAGTCTTCCAGTTGGTCTTCACATACTCTTGGGTCACCTCAGTGAAAATGTGTGCCAGGATCCACTCAACCGTTGGCCGGACTGACTCTCCAAAGCCCTGCAAGGTTTTGAATTAAACCACATCAGGTATAATTCCCCCAGCCGGACTCGTCAACAGATTGTTCGGCGATTTATTGCGTTTAGAGCTTCAACCGCTTGCATAACCAAAGAGCTCTGCAGATTGCAAATCACCGCTTATAACTGTCGATCCAGCAAGGTTTGAATTGAGTCTGAGTAAGCCTCTCCAGCATGAGGAGAAATAATGACCTCAGCGTCTTCCACTTGACTTGCAAGCATCCTGTAGTACAAAATTCATGTGCAAGGATTGGTTGGAAGCTATTCTCAGCACCTGCCGATTCCCTGCCGATCTGGTGTGCGGTTACCCAGCGGATCAGCTCTTGAACGGTGGACACGCTGTACAGAGGAATGAGAGCGCCTCCAGTTCCATCTTCGTTAACCTTGAGTACTGGAA